CAAAGAGGGAGAAACAAGTGATTTCTGTTGATGATGAAGAGATTTTTTTTTTACTTTTTTGATTATTTAAGTTTTTCGGTTATTATTTTGATTGATATTATTACATGTTAATCTCATAGGGATAATGATTAGGAACTGCTATTTGTTTAATTGATCATGTACATTATTAGTATTATATCATTTGTATGATACTAATGATGGTGGTGATTAAGATCTTAATTGATAAGAGAGGAAAGAGAGAGAGAGAGAGAATAGGGAGAGAAACGAAGGAGATGAAGATGAAAGATACAGAAGCAAAGATACATTAAGTATACAGAGAGAAAGAGATGAAGATGAAAAGGTAAACATAAAAGGAGGTGGAAGATGAAGTTAAGTGAAGCAATCTAAGGAGAGGTCAATGGAAAATGACCAAGTATAAAGGGAAGGGGAGGAGAGTGAGTATTTAGCAAAACAGATCGACAGAAACCAGAGAATCTTAAATGGTCAAGGTAATCATGTTGACCACAAAGATATGACTTTTTCTTACAAGAAACAGGCTTCGATTTTTTTCCTATTCGTTTACAATGTGACCTCTCTGTTTATATCAACAATTTCAAGACAGTTTAATGTGTTGGTGTAAAAAAAAAATGCTGTTGATATGGTTAATTAATAGGCAACTTTTTTTACACTTAAAATGTAAATTCAAATATTTCAGCGTTTAAAAGACAAACAGAATTGAAGATGATGTTGATAATGTGAAAGATAAACAGCTCGGTGCTAATTAACCATCAAATTTACAATCACTAGCGACAATTAATTTCAACATTAAAATCAACAACAAAGCGAAAGCTAAATGATGCTAATCATTTGTATGAATCTAATTGTTGGAAAAATATTTGTCTATCATTAAGATTGTTATTATTATTATACTTTAATTATCATTTTGTTGTTTGATTAAAATTCATCATCATTATGATTGTAGTTGTAATTTTGTGTATTTTTTTTAATACCCTGAAAGTTTGGGTGACTAACACAGGAAATGAGGATCAGTAAAAGGATGTAGTAAATGATTAAGTGTATAAGCATCACAATTATTGATTTCTGGTGTATGATTAGTGTTAGTTAAGTGATTAAATTTAGTTAATTTTGTTTTTCTTCAACTGATATTCAAGGATAAGTCTCAAAGAGGGAGAAACAAGTGATTTCTGTTGATGATGAAGAGATTTTTTTTTTACTTTTTTGATTATTTAAGTTTTTCGGTTATTATTTTGATTGATATTATTACATGTTAATCTCATAGGGATAATGATTAGGAACTGCTATTTGTTTAATTGATCATGTACATTATTAGTATTATATCATTTGTATGATACTAATGATGGTGGTGATTAAGATCTTAATTGATAAGAGAGGAAAGAGAGAGAGAGAGGGAGAGGAAGAGAGATTAAGATTAGTATTAGATTTGATTAAGTGATTGAAACTTTTTTAAATTGTTCATATGATTTTGTAATTTCAAGGTGTTTTAATTTGTTCACTGTTCAATTTCATGGTTATATTGTTTTACGATTTAAACGTTGATAAGTTATCTCACAATTTTCGTTGGGTAACTTGAGATTTAATCACCTTAAAGCATAGCCCTAGGAAATGAATATATATTTCATGTAATTGGTAATGGACAGTCATCAAGAGGAAATTAAAGATGATCATCATCATCTTATTTTCATTATCATGATGATCCAGATGATGATCATGATTTACACCAACCAGAAGCAGAACTAAATTGAACAAGACAGGTAATCATTAAGCAGAGAGAGAGAGAGAGAGAGAGAGAGAGATTGTGATTCTGATGATGGTGATGATTTTGATTAGATAAAAGTTTTTCTCGTTTTCTCATATAATAAATTGAGTGAAATTTGTGTCCGTTATAATTTGATTTAATCGTTTGATTAAATACCATTTGATCATCATCATCATTTTAATCAATCACTGGTGATGCTAATTAACTTGAATGTTCAAAATGATACCAAATGAATATATATGTGTATAAATACAACACTTTTCTCAATATGAATAAGGAAAAGATGAGGATGAAATAGGAAGATTATGGAGGATGAGAAGATGGATAACATTGATATCTTAACAGAAAAGACAAACAATCTTATTCATCAACTAATTCTGTTTATGGTGAAAAAGAAGAGAGAAGCAATTAAAAGATTTAACTTAATCATCATCTTAATTTCAAGCTTAACTTAAACTCATTCATTTCAAACTGATTGAAATTATAAGATAAAAACTAATTTTAACTTTTACAAACTCGATAATACAATTTAAAGTGTCTAAGACAAGCTTTGTTTTCATGCTACTAAATATTACTCAATGTTGATTATCATCATAATAATCAACAAACAACAACAACAACATCATGTTTTCCCACACAATCATGATGATTCAAACCAATTGATTCAACCGATTCAATTGATATCATCTTCATCATTATCAGAGTAGTTGATTATATAAAATTTATCTATTACATTTCAAATTGATTATAAACTTTTTAAATTGTCAATTAAAACATAAACAGACAAAAAATTAAACATCATCATTAATTGTAACCAAATCATAATTAATAATTATATTAACATTATATCTGTTAGGATACACTTAATTTGATGGTAGGATGAATTTTGAAAATTGTATTATTAGTTGATTAGTTAGTTGATTGGTATATTATAAGAGTAGTTAACAAAAAATGTAACATTGATTAATTACATTTAATGGTTGAGATGATCAACAGCAACAGTTAAAATTAAACATCAATACTACAAGTACCGGAAACGACACAGAATCATCAACAATTAACATAATAATCAAGGTAAAAATTATATTGTTACAATCGGATTAAAGAGAGGACATAACATAATTTGGGAAGAGAGGAAATCGAGGAGGCAAATAATGATTGTTAATTGTTTTGAATCAAATGGGTATATCATTAAGATTAACCTATTGAAAGATGATGATAAGATGAGGATGAGGATGATGAGAGAGAGAGAGAGAGGAAGATAAATAAAAAGATATCAACCCATAATTATTACAATGAGATATTCACAATCAGGTCTATGTAATCTGTGATTATTGTACCATGAAGATGAAGTTTTTTTTTACTTTCGTTGTCATATTTTATATTAATGTAATCATTTTTGACCGAAGGCTAGTAAATTAACCATCCAGAAATTAACTAACTAACAACACAATTTATTCATTCATTCACTATTAATTTGTTAAAGTCATGCAATTATTATACATCAACAAAGGGAGATACATTTACAACCCAATACACTTTATCATCCTCATTATTGTTCATTATCATCTAACTTTTCCTATGAATCTTGATTGTGTTAAATTTTAACCATTTGGTTTCAATGAAAAACTGGTTAATTGTGAGTATATGTTTTAGATCTGGTGGTTAATCCTTTCGAGAGTTAATTCATTAATTTTCATAGTTAACTTTGTGTAACCAAAGTAATTTGAAAAGGTTGACTGCTAATTGTGAACATTTTTCATTTCAACAACAACAAAATCAGCAACAATTGAATGAATATCAAGAGGAAAAGGTAAAAGGATGAAATTCATCATCATCATTGAACAACAACAATTTCTTAATGATTAGAAAGGTGATTTTAATGAGAAACTGATTTGGTAAAGAAAACGAGAAAGAGTTGCTTTTAATTGCAATGGGTAAGGCAATTAATTTAATTGATAAGAAGAGGAAAAATTGATCATCTAATTTGATTGAAGACCTTTCAATTGGAAAGGGATGGATAACAATGATATCTGTCAAATTTAGTGGATTCATCATTGTTGCTCTTGTTTTCTGTTGTTTATCTTCATGTTATTATTGTTGTGAATCAATGTTGTGCTCATAATGATTATCAAATTAATATATATTAGTGAAAAGGTGAGGAAGCTCAGGTTTGGGAGTTAGTTGTATCTCTCAATTGTTGTGTCACTGTGATGCTTAATTGAGCATGAAAATTTAAAAATGGTCCCTTTGACAATGGTTAATATCATTATATATACACCCTGCAGGCATGATGGGGATAGAGTGAGTGGTAAACAAGGATTGTCATCAACAAGGTGTATTCTGGTTGGTGAAATGATTGATTTATCAGAACAAGATTCAATTCGTAATGAAATTTTTACATTCTATTACGTAGGAGTATAAGAAGAACTTTTTTTTTCTTCTTCTTTTTCTTCTTTTATCATTGTTTCTATTATGTTGTATTATATTCTGTAAATATATTAGGTCTATCCACGAGTCTGGCTCACGCACACTCTTCTTTATCTTCCTTATCATCATCCTCATCTTCTAGTAGGAAAATGACTTTGTTATTCCTACTATTGGATAATATTCTCATTCTCTCTCCCTTTTACTTTGAACATATCGATTTAACTTAATGATGATCATCATCATTTGCTTGGAGAAAATAAATAATGAACAATTTGACAGGGTAAAAAAAAAGACTAACATTGAAAAACGAGAAGCATTAATGTAACAATCAATGTAATACTTTGAACAATTTACAAACATCAGCAAACTATCAAATTTTCATATTAATTAATCAACTAATTATACTTTCAATTCTCAGTGAAAGAGGTAACAACAACAACAACAATAATATAAAAAATGATAAAGGAAAAGTAAGAGAGTGATTAGTAATTAGTATCACATCTTGATGGCTGAAATAAGCTATATGCTAATCATCATCATCCTTGTTAATATGATGATGATAACTGATGGTTGATGTTGCTGCTGTCGTTGGATTAGACAGCGGAGGGATTAGAAGAGGTAAATGGTTGTTTATGTACCGGAAAATTATTTCAGTTTTAAACGGAATTCATGATGAGCAACACACGAAGATGAAAAATGAATGAAAAGTTAAGGTAAAAAAAAAGGTTCAATTGAGAGGAGGAGGAGAAGATGAGAAAATTTTGGTTGTAATAATGATAATAATTAGTAATACCTTGTACTGGACAGTTTGCCATCTTTTTTGGTCCATGTTATTTGGGGGACAGGGTCACCATCGACCTTGCATTCAAATTCAATGGTGCTCAGTTCAGGGGTGGTTATGTTGTTGGGTATTTTGATGAAATATGGTTTAACTAGGACAACAAGGGAGGCAGGAGCTGATTCTCGGCTTCCAACTGAGTTTGTTGCTTCACAAACATAGATTCCTCTATCTGTTGGATGGATATCATTTATTTTAAGGCTACCTGAGGTGGTCAATTGGAATCGAGGTGAGGCCATTAGGGTCATCATTGGTTCTCCATCTTTTTTCCAGGTAACACTGGGTTCGGGTGAACCTCTGGGTGGACTACAGTCAAGGGTAACTGAATCACCCGCAATCACGGTATCACTTTTGGGTATTAGGCGAAAATCATCTCGTAAATAACCAACATTTACAGTTGCATTTCGACTGTAAACTTTACCAATTTGATTACGAGCAATACAATAATAGATTCCAGTGTCAGAGTCTTTACCCTCTCCTGAGACAACTTTATAAAAGAAAAGTCCATCTCCACTGATAAATATTCGAGGTCGCCCGGGTCGAACTTTCTCTCCATCTTTGTACCATTCGATTGTTGGTTTGGGTTGTCCATCTGCTTTACAATATAACATAGCGGGTTCATTATTCTTAACCACAATATCCGATGGATGTTCAATTATTCGAGGAGGTTCAAGAGGTTTGCTTGCTTGCATTTCATTAACAATGGATGAAGAGGAAGAGGAAGATGTTGGTGAAGAAGAAGAAGAAGATGGTAAAGGGAAAGAAGAAGCATCATAAGAAGACGATGATAATTGTATAGAAGATAATGAAGATGAAGGTATTAATGGACTAGAAGGTGATCTTGCACTTCTACGAGATGATTTGTCAACCGAAACCGATTGACAAATTGTCACAAAGAGAATCACATAGTAAAAAATTAATAGAAAATGAACAATATGAGTCCACATAATAAATGTAATCAAAAGTCACATATAGATTTGGAAAAGCAGAGAATTTGTAGAAATGATCTTGATAAACAAATAGAAACGGTCAAGATTTTGATTACTCTTTGTTTGGTTTTCCTTATTCAATGTATAGACAATTGAGAATAGAAATTGACAAATTGTTGGAAAGCAGAAGAAAATTATTGTCACATTAATAAAATTTGTCAAAATATAAACATGATGACAATGAAGGAGAGAAGATGATTATGGTGATGATAATGTATATTAATAATAATCACATGGAGATAATTTAGTTGATTAGGTTAATGAATATCCGATGAATGTGATTTCTAGTGATTTCCACCACCACCAATAGTTGACATTTTCAACAATTCCTGAGATGAGCATAATTGTAAGATGTTTAAATGTTCAATTACTTTGGTTGAATTGATTTACACTGATTGTCAATTGTTATTCCAAATGGAAAATATTTTTATCCAAATATAATTAAACGTAATAAACAAACAAAAGTATATGAATCAAGATGGAGATACAACAAAGATGAGCAGAAGAAGATGGAAAAGAAGAAGCAAAAGAGACTCACAGAGAGAAAGAAATCAAAAGCTGGAGGGAAGCTGATGATCGTTTATTGAACAACAAAAAGATGAAGATAAAAAGATGAGGATGAAAAAAGGAAAGAAAAGAGAGAGAGAGAGAGAAAGATGAAGATGAAGATGAAAAGAGAAGAGAAAACAAAACTGAAAAGAGAAAAAAAGAGAAGCGCCAAGTTAATTTTCTATCCACCAGGTGGCTCTCTGTTCGCGCGTAGAAAAAGAAAAAGTGTCGCCATCTTTCCGAACAATTAACAACTAAAAAGAGAAATAATTTGATTCATTCAACTTGAAAGAAAACTTTGCGATTGAAAGTTAATTAACAACGAGAGAAAGAATATTTTCAATTAATTAGAAGGTTAATTTTTCACTTTATTCCTTTGTAATTTATTAAAAGAAAAAAAGAGAATAAGGTAAAAGGTTAAGAGAAATGAAAAGAGAGAAAAATGAACAGTTGAAATTGAAGAAAAGTTTTTTTTCGATTAATAAATTGACCTAAAGAAGAAAGAAATTAGGTCAATATGAGATCGATTTTAAATGTGTCTTCGTAATGTGTTTGTACTTGATAAATTTAATCTTAAAAAGTGATTACCATTAACGAGAGACAAATGTTAACCATAGGAGGAATTATATTGTTAACTGTTATGATTTAGATCCATCATCGTTTTTGGGTGGAGTTGATGAGAAGATGATTCCAATGAAGGTGAAGAAATTAAAGGGTGGGTCACCTAATATATCGAATTATTATCATCTCTTGATTATCATCATCATCATCATCTCAGAAAGAAAGACAAAAAATGCGAAGAAAAAAAGTTCTTATAATTTTCTCTCTCTTTTCTCTTTCTTTGTCTTCCTCATCATCATCTTTCATATTTTCCATCTATTATCTTCCCTCTATGACCAAACAAGAGTCTCACCCTTTCCCACTCTCCCACCACCACAATCAGAATCAGAATCAGAATCAGAATTCAGGAGATAATCAAAAAAAAAAACGAAAAGAAAAAAAAATTTTCTATCAACTAAATTATTTCCACTTCTAATTCAGTTAAATGTAGTTAACAGTTTATATTTATTATCAAACAATTAATATTCACCATTAACAACAACATCATCATCATCATCATGTAATTATAACAGTTAATTGTTGTGATTTGTTTCCTTTGGTTTGTTAATTGTTACAAATAAACAAAACAAAGTTACCAGAGGAAATTTTTACCTCTCCCATCACAATTAAGGTTAAATTGTTAACATTCATCATCATAGTGTTCATCTAATATGGTTAACAAGAAATTATCACAATCAATCAAAGAGATTAACAATTTAAATCGTAAGTAATTAAGTTTACAATTAATAAAATGTCAATTGAAAAGTAAAACAAAACAAATGATTGGATGTGAACGGAAAATTAATTCAATTACAATTAAACAGTTGGAACAATTTTCCCCCCTTCCAATTGATTGATTCATTTTTCTTTATCATAATCTGTTTGATTAACAATTAACTTCGTACAACATTTAATCATCTTGTTAATCGTTTAAACGATTGCGATTAAATTGTTTACCTTTTCCATTTATTATTCAATTTTGATTTTGTTTTTCCATTAACCAAATCAATTGATTTCCAATTAATTGTTAATTTCTCTTTTTCTCATCATAATTTTCCTTAATTGTGAATAATTTGACTTTCATTTTTCTCACCAATTAATTAATTATCACAACGAAAGTAAAACTTTTTCGTCATTAATAATAAACAAATGAAGAAACGAAAAAAAAAGGGTTGACCCAAAAATGCGCAGAAAGAACAACTGATAACATGGAGCTTATATTCGATTTGGTTTTCTACGCATTTTCGAAAAGGGAAAATTCACTCATATTCTTTTTTCCCCTTTTCCTTTTTTTTTATTCTCTTTCTTTTTGATTGTTTCAATTACTTTTTACTTTCTTTTTGATAGATGAAGAGAGAAGGTGAAACTTATTAATCTCTTTCTAATTTTCTCTTTCTTTTCTTTTAATTGTTGTGATTTATTTTCTCTCTCAGTTAATCATCTCCATCTCCTTAATCGTTACAATTAACTCTCATTCATTTCCAATTTAGTTAATTGTTTCTCTCTTACACATGTAATCATTTTATTTTCTCTTCTTCTCTAAATTGTGTTTTCTCTTTTTCATTTTGTTCTTTTTTTCTGTCATATTCTTTTCTCTTTTTCTTCTCTCCCGTTGTTTGTTTCTTCATTTGTTCTTTTTTTTCCCTGTGATTTTCTACCTGATTTTTAATCATTTTATGCTTGAAATGTTGGTCTTGGTGATAATTAAGTAAAAAAGAAGAAGAGAAGAAAAAAAAAACCTAAAGTGGTCACATCATATTCTCATTTTAATTGATATATTTATGGTTTTTCTTCATATATTATGTTGATTTGTCTTCACCCTCTTTTCATCATCGACAATTGGTCAAGAATTAATGTATTATACCAATTGCCTGTTGTCCAAGAAGTTTGTTCCCCTTTCACCCAACAATTATCTTCACCAGTTCAACAACAACAATTGTTACTCATTTTATTGTTCCTACTATTTTTATCAACAAAATCAACTATTATTAACATCACTAAACCGATTGAAAAACAACCAACAGCAACAATATCTTCTGATTATCAAACTGTTTCTATCATCACCAATTATTTACACAGTTTTTTATTCTTCTTCTATTCTATTTCTTAGTTGGCCATCTTGTTTTTTTTCATTTGTTGATTCTCTTTATCTCTCTGCCATTACTAACATATTTTTCTTACCAATAAGCTAATTTTATCCTCTTTTGTTTCAATCTATCTCTCACCTTTACCATTAACTTGATCATCTTGATCATCTGTTTTCTTATCATCATCTTATCTCTTTTTCTCTCTATCTCCTTCTTTCTGTCACCATCCATCTTTTGCAACAAATTGTATTTTGACTTGTTCTTTTTTCATGGTTCTTAATGGTTACTCTCCAATTGCAGAAAATGAGCGACGGATTCGCGCCAATGACTCATATTTTAATTCCAGATTTAATTATGCTGTAAGTTATTTTCTCTTTTAAAAATTTCTTCTATTCTATTTCCCATCTATTTGCATCACCCTCCTTTTGCATTTCTGCGAAAAGATCATCAACCATAATCACCCTCACCTCTGAGGGATAACTGATTTCGATCAAAATTGTCTGATTTAGTTAAGCTCTTTTTCATTGTTTGATTAAAAGCATGAGAGAAAATCATTTCTCTTGATTGCTTTTCTCTCTCTCTCTCTCTCTCAAAGTTCTCTCTGGTACCTTTGTACTTAACCTTATTCTTTTTCCCTCCATTTTTGTTTCTTCTTCATTTCAATCTAATCCTTTGTTTTGTTTTCTTTTTGTTTCTCTTACATCAACCAGAATAATTACATAAAAACATCAAAGTACAACATCTTCACTTTCATTCCTGTCAATCTATTTGAGCAATTTCGTCGTCTCGCCAATTTTTATTTCCTTTGTCTTCTAATTCTCCAGGTAAGAACTTTTGATTATTTAATCTCTATTATTTTCTTTATTTCTATTTTCATCTCATGTTATTATCAGATAATCATCATCACACTAATGTTACCATTTCCAAACCAATATTTTCATTCTCTCCTCTCAAAAATCACATTCATAACAACTGATAGAAAGAGTAAATTATCTGTGTTAATGTGAATCTTTGCCAAATTAATTCACTATTTTTAAGAACTTTTTTTTAGTAGTAACTTCATCTCAATCATCTGTATTTATCATCCTTCTATCATCATATTTCTCACTAATTTTCTACCCAAACCACTTCACTTTTAATGTTGATCTTCCTTTTAACTAATAGTTTTTTCAGTTTGTAGATAATAACGTTTACAATATCATCTCTCTAATAAAATCACATATCTGGATTAATTGATAATCACCAAAGCTTTAGGTATACACACAGATATTGTAATTCAATTAATATCTCTTTCTGTTGATCATTTTTCCCTTCAACTAACTGTTTTTTTTTCTTATAACCTTTTCCAATTTCACAAGTTGATTTTAATTAACTAAATTTTTCGTTCTGTCATTTTTATTTCCTCATATGAATATGAATGATGATTATAATCAATCGATTAGATAATCAAACCTTCAATCAACATCCTGTTCAGCAATCATTGAATCCATCTCCTCATTTTCTCAATACTTGTCAACCGGACGATAATAAAATAGTTTCTAAACTGTTACCTTTGAGATAAAAATTACATCATAGAATTTAACATAAATTCAAAGTAAATTAGTTAATTTTTAAACAATCAAGTTTTATGATTATATAATTGAACATCATTAACATTGTCTTTTTATAACAATACAACAAATAGTCAACACCCACCACTAATTTTACTCTTATGTTTATGATCACTTTTTTTATTTCTCTCTCTCTCGTAAATCTAACGTAATTAGAGACTAATGTTCTAATTATGTTCATTCAAAATGATAACAACCAGATTGAAAGAGGCAGCGAAGAAAAATCAACAATGTCCTTCAAAATTTCCTCAACAATTTATTAGATTGCGAATTATTGATTTACTAACATTAATATTCAACAATACTATCAAGATGAGATTTTGTACTTTCAGGGTATTTTATGTGTATGTAATTTTTTAAGATAATGACAAATAATGACATCTACATGTTATTGTTATTTTGATTTTGATATTGATTGATAAATATTGTTGTTGCAATTATTTTTTGTTCTACTTTTGGTCTTCTTCTTGTTACATCAAATGCAAAGTTTACATCAATTGATTATTAGTTTTCATTCAAAAACTGTCCATCATTTTTTTACTATGTCACAACAATTAACACTAATTACATGTACATATTGACCATTTTTCTTTTTCATTCAGCTCATCCCATTGATATCTTCGCTCACATGGTTGACCACTGCGGTGCCTTTAGTTGTGGTCCTTGCGGTTACTGCAATCAAAGATGCTATTGATGACATTGTACGATTTTTTTTGCTCTCCTTTTAATGATGTTTATTTAACTTGAGAATTTAAATGTTTGTCTCAATTTTAAAATTAATTTTTCCATTTCTCTCTCAATTACAGCAAAGACATAGAAGTGATAATCAAGTAAACAATAGGAATTCAAAAGTTTTACGAAATGGAAAACTTGTTGATGAGAGATGGCATAAAGTTCAAGTGGGTGATATAATTCGTATCGACAATGACAATTTCGTTGCGGTAATTAACTAACCAATTTGATTTCAACAACTGCCCTTGCTAACCAATTACACATACTCATCAATCTCATGTGGAATAAGCAACTGCACTCATTACCAAAACGATTAATCAATTAACACTTTTCCATTTTCAATATTTTTTTCTCTCCTTCTCTTTTAATCTAACCATGATTCCATAGGCAGATTTGCTCCTCTTATCAACTAGCGAACCCAATGGGTTATGCTATGTTGAAACAGCCGAACTAGATGGGTATGTAGTTTTCTCACTCTCTCTCTCTCTCTCCTCCATCCCTTCATTAATGGATCACATAAATTCACTAAATTATTGTTTTCATTGTTTCCTAATTATCTATATCATAATTATAATAATTGTAAAATTATAATCTCATAATGATACCGTTATAACTATTAACTGTCACAGCAACTATATACACCTCTTTTTTGCTTTGATTCATTAGAACTAATTTATCTTCATCTGTCTTGTCTCTGTTTTCTTCTCATCCTTTTGTTTAGAGAAACCAATTTAAAATGTCGCCAAGCCCTACCTGAAACAGCTGATCTATTGGATGATACCAATTTATTATCCAAATTTGACGGTATGTGTTTATTATTAATTCTTTAAGCCAGATTTACAATTGCTGGTTTAAATGGTTCATGGTGTTTTAATTGATTAACAGCATGTTGATGATCATATTATCAATTGCGAGTCCTCTTCATTATCCGTTACAATGGAAAATTTTTCTTTCTCTCTTTCTTTACATCGTTTTTCTCATTGAAAATCTAGGTTACTTTTTATATGGATGATATTTGGATGTGTTTTAAATGATTTTCACATCAACTCACTTTTTTTTCTCGGTGTGTGTTTGTAAGGTTAGATGAAAACGAAGGTAAAAAAAAGGAAATGGAAATGTTTCATGCTAACTTGTGTTGTTTTGATTTTAATATATGATAGCAATAATAATAATTATATCATTTCTTCATATATATAACTGTACAATCACAACAACCTGTTTGCATTAGTCTAATTAGCATTGTCAATTGGTGGAATTAGATCAATATAATTTTCTCGTAGTTATGTTCATATGATCTCTAAGAATCATGTTTTGATTATCTAGTATTACATCTTATACTCTTCAACCATTTATTGTCTCTCCTTTCTAATATGATTGTCAGGTATTGATGATCTTACGAAATGTTAGATTTGCAAGTTCCAATTCTCCCTTTTCATCATCAGCATCTCTCTCTCTCTCTCTCTCTCTCTCTCTCTCTCTCTCTCTCTCTCTCTCTCTCTCTCTTCTGATATATGATCATGATATTGTCTAATAGAGTTTCCATTCTGCTTTAATTTCATTGCGAAATGAAAACTTTTCATGTCCTTTGATTGATTATCTTTGACCATCGTCATACTAATTCAATCTCATCCTTTTTTATTCAATGTTTATTTATTATTTGTGTTTCTCTCTCTCTCTCGTACTTAGTACATATATAAATGCATGCACATCTTTATTATCATCTTTGTTGCCATAAATATAAATTACTATTATTTGTCAATGATATTATATCCAGGGTATTTCATGTATTTTAAATATTATTAGATTGACATTGATTCTAGTTATCTTGATAAAATGACATCTAATTTTGTTTCTCGTTTTGTAACAATTGATTTGATTCACTTTCACCACAAGAGTAACTATCAATTCTGTAGAGAGAAAGTATCAATTGTGATGATCGAGTGATATCTTATTATTAATAATTAATTTCATTATCATTTTGATGATCATCACTAACTACATCACCAAAATCATTCACACTTTATTATCCTCGACCAATGAATAAGCAAATTTAAACTGAATAATCAATATAAGAGAAATGAAAACAAAACCAATTTACTCTTCTCATGGTTTGTCATTTTTGTCAACCATGTTTAGTGTTATACAGTAAATAGAAAATAAATTGAAGGACAATTGAATTGAATAACTTTACCTTCAATCAGTAAACATAACAAATTGTGTCCACATGTATGATACTCACAATTTTTTTTTCTTTATAATCTTGATGATTGAAAGTTCTGGTTCGACCTTTTCTACCTTATTGATTTTCCTTTAGATTTTTTTCTCATTAGTTTCTTCACATTATTAATATACATTTACTATTTTCTTTTTCCCTTTCTCTCTGTCTTTTTTTTCACCGATTGTATAGTAAATTGTTAGTGATTAGAGGGAGAGAGAGAGAAAAGAGTGAATGAGAAAACAAATCCCTCTTTTTAAATAACAATGACCATTACCTGTGAATAAACACACACATTCATTAATCTGAATGTTCCAATTCTTTATAATCTCAATCATTTATTAATCTTTTTTACCTTTTTTTTCCAGGAGAGATACGATGTGAACCACCCAATAACAATTTAACCAAGTTTGAGGGAACAATGATTTGGAAAAAGCAAACATATCCATTGGATAATGATAAGATGTTATTAAGAGGTTGCGTCCTTCGTAATACTAAATGGTGCTTTGGAGTTGTCATATTTGCGGGTCGAGATACTAAATTGATGCAAAACTCTGGTGTAACCATTTTTAAAAGAACGAGTCTTGATAGATTGTTAAATTTGTTGATTTTAGGGGTAAGATTATCTAGATTCAAGTTGTCAATCAATAACAACACCATCAACATGAGTGTTGAAAAAAATACTAATCACTTTTGATTGTTGATGATTTTTGTTTCCATTGTTGTATAAAATACAATAAGATGAAAAAGATTCATCAATCATAATCCATTCTAATAACTTTGGCGAGTTTTTTTTTCTTCTTCATATTATAATTAAACTAATATGATTTCTAGTGATTAGCAGTATTTTTAACTGTTGCGTTATTGAGTTAAGAAAATATCTATTGATATAAATCATGAATACGCTTGGTGAACCACTTTTGTGTGAATAGTTTTGGCAAACTAATCTATTAAATCATTTGATTTCATCTAAAAGTTACAGATTCAAATGTTTATGATCCTAATAATATGTTAAAAATTAGACTGAGGATTTTGTAGCTAAATTAATTACTCAATAATCGTAATTTTAAATTTAACTCACCTCGAAATGATTTATTGTCAATATTATTGTTTCTAACTTTTTTTATTATTGCAATTAAATAATTTGTCGTCTCTTTCTCTCCCTCTCTATTGTTGATAGATAGTTTTTGTGCTGATTAGTATGTGCCTATTCTGTACCATTGCATGCGGTTTCTGGGAAACTGTTACTGGTCAATATTTTCGTGGTTTTTTACCTTGGGATAAGAAAGCAGTTCCCCAAGAGGATCCCACCAGTGGTGCCACAATAATTGCAATTCTAGTCTTTTTTTCATATGCCATTGTCTTAAATACGGTGGTTCCTATCTCGTTATATGTTTCTGTTGAAGTGATTCGTTTTTGTCATTCTCTTTGGATCAATTGGGATCAGAAAATGTATTACCCTGTAACCGATACACCAGCCAAAGCTCGGACAACAACTCTTAATGAAGAATTGGGTCAAATAGAGTATATTTTTTCCGATAAAACGGGAACCCTGACACAAAATATAATGACCTTTAATAAATGTTCAATTGCTGGTAGATTATATGGTGAAATAATTGACCCTGAATCAGGAGAAACCCTTGAAATTACCGAAGACATGACACCAGTTGATTTCTCTTTCAATCCTTACTACGAGGAAAGTTTTCGTTTCTACGATCAATCGTTACTCGATGATGTCCACGCAGGTAGACAAGATGTTTACGAGTTTTTCCGTCTTCTTGCCTTGTGTCATACTGTCATGTGTGAAGAGAAAGATGGTAAATTAGAGTATCAGGCTCAATCCCCTGACGAAGCAGCACTTACATCGGCCGCTCGAAACTTTGGTTTCACTTACAAGGTAAAAACAATGAACCTGAATAAGTTAATCAATTTTTTCTTTTCTACTCAAACAATGAATCAGCTCATTTATCTCGCAACCAGTTTATGTAACGATAATTTCATTACAATTTACCACTTGATTACTTCTTAATTAACGTCAAGAAAATCATGATTGGAAAGCTTTCTATTGCAAACATATTTTGATTGTTTTCCTTTTCATTAAGTTAAATGATTCATATCTTTCATATCAATGAAATTGGTTAAATTTAACTTTAATTAAATTCTCTAATATCATCTTTCATCTTTATTTATTACAGAGTAGAACTCCCAATTCGGTGACAATTGAGATTCTTGGAAAAACTGAAGAATATGAATTGATTGCAATCCTGGATTTTAACAATGTTCGTAAAAGGATGTCTGTAAGTTTCTTAATTGTCGTCAATCAATTATTCTACCAATAGAATAATTTATCAATTATATTAGCAAAAAATTGTTTGAAAAGACATAAATATTGTTTTCCTATTATTAACATTATACTTTTATTTTTCTTTCAATGTTTGAAACTGCAAATCAAATGGAAAGGTGATAATTAAAAAGGATGACAAGATTACGTTACTTTGTAAGGGAGCTGATTCTGTGATATTTGAGAGATTACATCCAAATTGTGAGGAGGTTAAACAGGAGACACTTGAAAATCTTAATCGTTTTGCAAGTGAAGGGCTTCGAACCCTTTGTTTAGCCAAGAAAGATTTGGACACTGAGACTGTTGAAAAATGGAAAGCTCAGTTACACGAAGCTGCAACCAGTATGGTTGACCGAGAGGATAAAGTATCAGCTGTTTACGAGTTAATTGAAAAAGATTTAATCTTACTGGGAGCCACTGCAATTGAAGATAAACTTCAAGACGGTGTTCCTCAGTGTATTGCCAATCTTGCCGCTGCCAATATAAAAATTTGGGTTCTAACGGGTGATAAACAAGAAACCGCCATTAATATTGGTTACTCATGTCAATTACTAACTGATGAAATGGTTGACATTTTCATCATTGAAGGCTGGGAATATGATGAAGTTGAACAAGAGCTACTTCGATGTCGGGAAAGTATTCGTAACATCTCAGCTCAGGGAAAAGTTGGAGGAGCTTGTTCAGTAGTTACCTTTAGTGATGCCAGTGATGTGACCCACATTTCAGCGACAGGTAACAACGTTTCCTCAGGTAAACAATGTAACAATCAGAAAGGCGATCATAATCATCATGGTAATGATTCAAAAGCTGATAATCACAATCACAATCATACTCAACAACAACAGCCCTACACCAATCATCAAACTCTTGGTGCCGGTTTAGAAGAGCTTCTTGGTAAAGATGGAGGGCTTTCGGCGGATTTGCGTTAGTTGTTAATGGTCATAGTTTAGTTCATGCTCTTCAACCTCAGATTGAGTTGCTCTTCCTCGAAGTTGCTTCTTGTTGTAAAGCTGTTATCTGCTGTCGGGTTACTCCATTACAAAAAGCTCTTGTAGTTGATCTCGTTAAAAGGCACAAAAAAGCCGTTACCTTAGCTATAGGTGATGGTGCCAATGATGTGAGTATGATTAAAAGTAAGTATTGAAAATAAGTTACGATTTGAGGGGAAAATTTCAATTCTTTCTACAGAAAACAAAAATTGTACTCAAAATTTAACTAATCATATTTTGCTATTATTTTATTTATATAGTGGCACATATTGGTGTTGGTATTAGTGGTCAAGAGGGAATGCAAGCAGTTTTATCATCAGACTTTGCCTTGGCACAGTTTCGTTTCCTTGAGCGATTATTACTTGTCCATGGTCGCTGGTCATACTATCGTATGAGCAAATTTTTGAGATACTTTTTCTATAAAAACTTTGCCTTCACACTTTGCCATTTCTGGTACGCATTTTTCTGTGGCTTCTCGGCTCAGGTAAACTTTTTCATATTTAAATCCTATTTGTCGGAGAGAAAATAAAATTCTCATCAATGGTATTTTTTTTTCTTTTGCTTTTCTCAGACTCTCTATGATCCTGTTTTCATATCATTCTACAATGTTTTCTACACCTCTCTTCCTGTCCTGGCTCTTGGTATATTCGACCAAGATGTAGATGATCGAATGTCCGTTCGATATCCTCTATTATATACTCCGGGTCACAGTGATCTCTTATTTAACAAGATTGAATTTTTAAAAAGTGTCGCCCATGGTATTATCACTTCGTTTGTTTTATTTTTCATCTCATATGGTGCTTTTAGAGAAGCTATTGGACCAGAAGGAATTAATTTCGACGGTCATCAAATCTTTGGTACCGTTGTCTCAACAATTCTTGTTTTAGTAGTAACAGCACAGGTAACAACGATTAAACCTACTGTGAATTTTTTTCTATCAACAAATTAATCAAGTTTAAGAAAAATTTCAATTACAACAAGTTACATTAACGTTTCAATTTTGTTGGTTGAACTTTTTACTTTTACCTGAATAATATTTTTATGGCAAATATTAATTGGTTTACCTGTAAAAATAATAGAGCAATTGTGATTTATTGTTCTAGTCAATTTCCTTAACAACTTTGGATTATTATTTATTTTTGTTCATTTTTTTTCTCTTTCATTATCAGATCGCCTTGGATACCGCTTATTGGACTGTATTTAATCATGTTGTTATCTGGGGAAGTGTAGCTTTTTATTTTGCTATGACCCTTTTTATTAATAGTAATTTTATCCGTAATCAGTATTTGGGTTGCTTACGAACCACCCTAAGTACGGGACAGTTTTGGTTTACCCTGTTTTTAACATTGGTCATTTTACTTGTACCCGTTATTGCAACTCGTTTCTATCAAGTTAACGTACATCCAACTCTAAGTGATCGTTGTCGATTGAAACAACGTTTAACCCGATTAAAGATAAAACCCATTGAGCCAATTACACGACGTCGAAGCTCAGTTCGTCGTAGTCGACGATCAGTTCGATCGGGTTATGCATTTGCACATCAAGAAGGTTTCGGACGTTTAATAACATCCGGTAAACTTGTTCAAAAGCCAAGTATTAAATCAAACACTGGTACCAATACACTCAATAGTGTACGTTCATCAATTGAAGTTGCTGGTACAGTGATGCCAAATCAAGCCAATATCTCATCATCATCAACACACAATGTTAAGGCTTCCTCATCATCTTCAAGAGTTCAACCTCGACAAGTTGGACCTTCTCCTATTCAAATTTAAATTTATTCTCATCATAACACATTATCTCTCTCTCTCTCTCTCTTCTATGTCAACTTTTCCCTCCCACTTTCTTTTCTCATCTTTATCATTATTATTATTCATTTTAACAGTTTATCAAATTGTCATCTCTTGTTATAATCTCTTTTCTTTTACCTATTGATCTTTTATTTTCTTCTCTCTTCTATTATTTATCTCTTTCTCTCTTCCTGATCCACTCACTCGTTTTTATCCTCTAACACTCAAAATCTTAAATCAATCTTCCCCTTCTTATTACCTATCATTTGATATAAAAGAAGGTTAAAAAATTATCTATAAATTGTTATATTGTTGTGAAAAGGTTTACCTTTAAATCACCGTTCATGTTAATTTTGTCAACTTAACAGAGACTTTAGAAAATGTTAATTAATTTTTAAATATAATATAAGAGATCAACAAAAGGTAGATACGCTTTTCGTTACAGTTAAATTAAAAAACAAATAGACAATTAGTTAATGATTTTAAAACCATATTAGTGAAAATTTCAATCAAATTAACCTCATCTTCCAATACAAAAGTTTAATTGAAAGCGTATCTACTGATTGTTACCTTTTCTTATTACTATTAACGTTAATTATTACCAATGTTTAAATGAAAAAAATTACCTCTAAATCAGTTATAACTACTAAAGTTTATAATAAGATGTGACCAAAAAATTTCTTAATCATCTCTTGGATAAATCTCTCCACTTTCCAGTTATCCGTTGAATATACAATTAGAGAGGAGAAACAATCAAAGGAAAATCAATAGAAACTATAAAACTTTATGGATCAACAATCACAACGACAATCAAACAATTAGGAAATTATAAACTAGCGCAAAATCAACAGGTGATAATTGTTTTACCATCAAAGTTAATCATCATTATTTTGGATTGATAATGAGAGACAAGTTGATTAAATATCTTCCCGTTTGTATTTGCTGGATTTTTGCATCAACTGGATTAATTTGGCAAGTTTATCAAGTGTCGGAAATATTTTTCAACTTATCAACACGAGTGGACATTGACATGGACGCTCCACTTAATTTAACAATTCCAGCGATCACAATTTGCCTTCCCTTAAAACCCAATATAATCACATTGAAGACTCTAATCGATGTGAACAATTTATCCGATGACCAGATAAAAGAAGAGGTCACTTATTTACCGATTAACTTACTTTCCACCCTGGAAACAATTGATGTTAAAGTTTTCTGCCGAACTAAATATCCAAGAGTAATTACCGATTATCCGGATGGTCAACCTTGTGATCTTTTTGGTAAAACTGTTCATCGAATTCAATACAATCATGAGACTAAAATTATTCATCGGTGTACAACTTATCTAATTCAAATTCACGAAGAACCGTTAACCGTTATCGCCAATGAAGCGAAAGATTTTTTCGCACTTGATGTTTATTCACTGGAATCTAATATTGTTCGTGTTTATGTTCACAATCCATTGGAGATAATTAATCTACCTGAGGCAGATTTTTTCGTCATCTATACTAATCAATCAAGTGACATTGTCGTTGTTTCTTCATGGATAACGATCAATTTACCGAAAGATACTTTTTTCTCTGAATGTTCAGATTATAATGAATTAGATTTCGGTCGGATGAGTTGCATTTTTCTCTGTAGACTCAGAGTTTCTCAAACAACGTGTAGTTCGTGGTCATCAGAAGTTCCCGCTCCGTTGGACGTTAAATTACCGTTCCGTTCACGTTTGCATGATTGTCCCCGACCAAGGGACTATAATTGTACCAGTTTCGAAATTTGTCCCGTTCAATGTAAGAGCGTTTGGTACACAAGTACTCTTGTTTGGAATCACATCAAAGATAAACCCTCGAATTTGACCCGATTTATTGTTCGCCGACCCTATGGACTCGAATTCGTGTACAATGTTACACCTTCATTGGCGCTCGTTGAATATTCATGTTACGTTGCCAGTTGTCTTGGTATTTGGTTTGGAATCAGTTTCTCAGATATTATGTTAAAATTGTTCGGAAAATCAAATCTCCATCAAATTAAATCTTATCCAACTCTATCTAAGATAAAAGTTAATTACCATCGAAAAATAATTAACCACAATTCCTATGATGCCAAGAAAAAGATTACTAATAACCATTTACTTCTTGATTGTTTCAACTCCAAATTACCAACATCCGGTCAAATTTATCAAAGAAAAGTTTTCCCATCTAAATATCTTTATTATTAATAATTTACAACAATTAAAACTAAATTTATCTATTAAGATGTTAATTGTTGTAGAAGACACAAAAAAAACAGAAACTAAATTGTAAATAATCAATAACTAAATTCAATTAAAAAGCTAATTTATTGTAACAAAAAAAAACGATTTCCCAACAGTTAATTATTACAATCAACTGATCAATACAATCATTTATAATGGAGAAAAATAATTCACACAATTAACTAATTGATTAAGATGAAAAATAAGTTTACTCATCAATCTAAATTCTTGTCACATGTAATTACTAATTCAACAATTGATCAGCTCCATGAACCAGATAACCATTGGAATAATTTAGCGATAACAATTAGATGAGAACAACAATTAAGTGAGACAATTAAGATCAAGTTGATTAACTATTTCGAAGCGAAAGAAAAAAAAATGTCTTGGATAACCGAGACATTAAATAATCGTAATTATTATCATCTGAATGAAGAAAAATATTCTAATGTCAAGTTGATTCGATCAACCGATTGGTCAACAATTAAGGAAATTAAAAAATCACCTAAACGATTAACCAGAATTTCACCTTATTCAATATATCAACATTCAGTTAATTTCAATCGTAGGCCAACAATTAATGAGAAACAAGATCGATTAACTTGGAAATTGTTTCGATCATCATTTCGATTGGGTTATCATTATCGTGCCAAAATATTGACCTGGTTAATTGCGACCCTTGGGTTGATCTTGCAGATCTATCAAGTCTCAGTGATCTACTTTGAATACCCGACACGAGTGGACATCGACATTGACCTTCCCCGTAACATCACAATGCCGGCGTTAACTGTTTGCCTCGAACTGGAATCTCAGTCTAACCTTTGGAAAAGTGAATATCTTTCAATGGAATCAAAATCTTCGAATGGTTCATGGGACATTCGTGATTTTTACCGTTACCTTCCTGGTTTTATTCTTGACGGGATTCATGTTGTTCAGGTTAAGGTAATTTGCCAAACACCATTTCCAGAGTTAATTAAAATCAATCCAATTGGTTCGACTAATTGTGAAAACTATTCACCGATTAGAAAAAGTCTCCACTATAATTGGGAGACTAATCGAGTCCATCGATGTACAACTTACTATTATCGTCGATACCAAAGTAAACCAATCGAAGTGATAACTGCCGATGCTAAAGATTTCTTTCAATTGTCTTTCTTGACGACGGGAAATTATTCCATCGGTATAATTGTCCACAATCCGTTTGAGATTTTACACTTTATCGAAGCGGATACATTTCACTTTTGGACTCAACAAACCGACCAAATGATTCTGGTCACAACCAAGGTGACAACTCACCTTTTAAGGTCACCTTATCGAACCGATTGTGTTGATTATGATCATCTTGAATTCGGTCGGACATCTTGTATTAATTCATGTCAAGTTCGCAAAGTTCAATCAGATTGTCCCATTTGGCCTGGCGACGTTCCCATGACCACAATCAGAAATGAATCTTTCTCGATTCTTGGTAAATCATGTCGACACCCTGAGAGGTACTTTTGTCGCCAGAAAAGTATCTGTAAGGCTCAATGTACTCATCGTTGGTACACAACGACTTTGATCTCATCGAAAGAGAAACGATCTCATTCAAATGTGACCAATCTTTTCGTGCGTCGGCCTTTTGGCGCTGAATTGGTCTACAAATATGGCCCTCGGTTGACCCGAATCGAGTTCATCTGTTATGTGGCCTCTTGTTTCGGCATTTGGTTCGGAATCTCAGTTACCGATATTTTCCTATTCACCTTTCATCAGAGTCGAAAACATTGTTTCAATAAATCAACGATTAAATCATTGATTGATCAAAGTAATTGTATCACAATTAGCAAACAGTAAATGAGTTAGTTTAATTGTTTACATTTATTGATTAGCATAATTTCATTGATAAAAAAAATTATCATTTAGTTTGACGGATTAATCGTTTTCTTTGATAATTCAGTTAATCATTTTGTTGTAAATCGATTCAATTTTAATTGAATTATTAACAATGATAATATTTTTAGCTAATTGTAATCAATATTAAGTAGACTAATTAAAAGTAATCCATCATCATTAATGGTGTTTTATTATGTAATTTATCATCGATTTATTGATTTGATGATTTCTTTTAATTTTCTTTAACAATCTTATGGCTTAATTGTTGCTGGAAATTTAATTAATGAGTTGATTGACATTATATCCAATGAGAACTAAATATTTTGTGTTAATCTTTCAATGTAACTTGTTGATTAAAATTTTGACGTTGATTTAAGTTTTTGGGTTAATTGGTTAACATTAAATTGTTGTTAATTATGGTCAATTTGAAAGATAATACGATTAATAATGTAATTAAAAGCTCTCGTTTTGAGTCGACAGACTTTTCCTTTCTAGTGGTTCCTGGTAATTTGGTTAATGGTTGTTCGTCTAAACGAAATAAATCAGGTCAACAATTAAGATCAAAGGTTAATTCACCTTTTATATCATCAAAGTTTCCACTTTCTTCATCTGATCCATTGGTCAATCCAGTTGAATGGCGATTGTTTTTCTGGGCCAAATTAATCGCTTGGACAGTGGCGAGTATTGGTTTAATTTGGCAAATCTCATCGGTCTCAATGATTTACTTTGCATTTCCAACTCGTACCGATATTAAAATTGATTCCCCACGCAATTTAAATATGCCAGGATTGACAATTTGTCTTAAAATTGTCTTACCAAAAGAAACACCGATAATCCCGCTCTCAGGTGATCTATCAAATCAAAGTAGTTTCCAACGATTTTTACCAATTAATTTACTGGCCAATTTTCCCGTTGAAGATGTTGAGATTATCTGTTTATCACCTTGGCCTGAATTAGTGAAGATTAACCGATCCGCTGGAGATAATTGTGAAAATTTTGTCACTCCAATTGAATCAATTCAATATGATTACGAAGAGGATCAAGTTTATCGGTGTAAAACTTTTTTCCACCAAGCACCAAATCAAAGTGAGATAACTGTTATAACCAAAAACTCTGAGCACTTTTATCGAGTTTACCTCAAGGCCAAAGGTAACTTTTGGATCGCCGTTTATGTCCACAATCCGGTTGAAGTGCTACACCTAAACGAAGCGGATACCTTTCGTTTCTCAACAGAAAACACCGAAACGATAACCTTAGTGACCAGTAAGATGACCACTCATCTTTTGGCTTATCCTTACCAAACCGATTGTATCAATTACCAAAATCAGGTCTATGGACGAATGTCTTGTGTTTACAATTGCCGATGTTCAATGGTCAGATCTTTGTGTCCCACTTGGCCTTTTGATGTTCCAGCCGCTCTCAATGAGGGATTACCTTTTTACATCGCCGGTCGCTCATGTCAAACTCCAGGTCGTTACCTTTGCTCTCTTCGGGGTACTTGTAAAAACGCTTGTCTCAACAAATGGTATTCGACCGCTTTAATTAATCGCCAAGAGAAAACTAATTTAACTCAATTAACTCGATTCTTTGTGAGACGTCCGTTCGGTGCTGAGGTCATTTATTTTTACACCTCGAGAATGGAAAGGATTGAGTTTATTTGTTACATCGCTTCTTGTTTTGGTACTTGGCTTGGATTCTCATTTGCTGATCTAATTAAATCAACTGTTGTTTGGCTTGAGAAAAAATCAGCTGAAAAGAGTCAAAATGTTAAATTGTTCAAAATGGCGACAATTAATTCACCACAATTACATAAACACTCATGAGAAAGTCATCTTGAAGATTTACAGTTAAATATCAATTACAGTTGATTGTTTCATCATATTAATAATATAATTAAACAACACGTTTCATATAGACAATTAGTGAACTTATTTGTATTTATTTAAACTGAATCAAGTTGATTGTTACTTGGGTTGAAAATGGATTGAACTAATTACAACTTGGAAGAGGACAAATTTTAGTAATTTTTAAAATTAAACCTCAGTTTTGATTTGATTAATTATCTTGTTAAGTATTGTTTTGATTTACAAGGCTGGTGGTTTTATCAAATTGATCGTGTTGTTGATTTGGTTGTATCATGTTAATTGATGATTAATCGTAAACAACATCAATGTCACACTCCTTGTGGAAACAATCACAATTCAAATTAACAGGAAATTGCAATTTATGACTACTGATATTGAAACAAGACATTATTTCATTGAGATGACCTAAGATGAGGTGGAAAACTTGATCGGGTACCCGGCGGGCAGAATCAATAAAAGCCTCTAAACAACGAAGTCCAGCAAATTTACAATGATTAAGATGCAATCGACGTAATTTGGGACAAGATTCAATTATAGTGGCAATATAATTGTCGGAAATAACAGAATAACTGATATTAAGCACTCGAAGTGATTCCATGTTGGCCAATAGTTTAGCAGCATCGTCATCAAGGAAACCATTGATTAGGAATAGATTCCGATGGCCCCAATAGCCACATCGATCATCATGAAAATAGTGAAATTCAATTAAATCATTACAATTAGCGGCAATCTCGGCAAAAGTGTTTAGGGTTATTGAGTATTGTCCAATTTTAAGGGATTGTAAATGTTTTCCACGACTTTGAACAATTCGAGTGATCATTTTATCAATATTAGGAGGATCTTGATCGGTCACATCGAAGTGAAAACTTAATAAGGTAAAACTTTTAAGATTTTGTAGATTACCGATCACCACACCACAATCGTACTCATGGTCAAGATAATCTTTGACCAGAGGAATTTCAAGACAAACCAATTTACGGCAAGTTAAACAAATTGTTTCCAAGTGACTGTAGTACATTGAGATACAGGGTAACTTTAAATGTGTTAAATTGGGTTGATGTTTAAGTGCATCAACAAACATATGCTTTAAACGGGTAATCGGTACATCGGAAATGTGAACATGAAGTTTTCTCAAATCATCGGGAATCATTGTATCCAAACAAGAATCGGCCTTAAAAAGATCATAATTAATTTCCGTTAGATTGGTACAGTGTCGCTTAACAATCAACAATTTATCACGACTCATCTCTTTGTTTTGGTAAAGTGTAAGATGGGATAATTTAGGTGACATTTTGGAGCAAAGGTAAGACCATTCTCGACGGGAAACGGCATCAAGTTCACAAGCGGTTAAACTAAGGTGAGAAAGCGTTTTACCAACAAAGGTAAAATCAGCTAAAGCCGATATTTGATTGGTGGAGATTTTTAAATTATGTAAATAAAGAGCGGACAGTTGAAAAAAATGATTCAACACTTTGGTTAATAGAAGAGTAAATTTTTCTGAATCATGTTTCCATGAGTATTCAATGGTGTTCAGGCGAGTGATTGAATGACTATCATCATCACAACAGGTATTACGATATCCCAATGATTTAGTGTCAATATTGGCCAAAACTCGAGTCCGTGAAAGATTAAGTTCAATCAAATGATACCATTTACGACAAACTGCTCGGAGTCGCAATTTCTCTTGGATATTAAGATATTTAATTATCTCCACAATAATATCTTCATTGTCTTGTAAGGTTGTCATTGTTTCACTTAAATATTAGAACAATTAATCTGGGATGATCACAAGGAAAATCTAGTTAATCCCAACAAGAAACAAAGAAATGAAGATAAAAAACCAAACCCAAATTCACTGTTGTTGTTGTTGTTGTTTTCTGGGTTATCAACTTATCCTCTTGAAGGCACAAAAAACACAATTAAATTTCAATTAACAAGTTGATCTTGGAGTCATTTTAGGAACAATTAACTAATGAACAATATTCACTGTCACCGGTTAGTAAAGAAATTAAATTTTCTTCAAGAAAATAAAAACAATTGAATAGCTTTTTCTCAAGAGCAAATAGAACTTTTTTCTTTGTTTTTGTTGACATGTCAGGAAGAGGAACACTAAAAGAGAGAGAGAGAGAGAGAACAGCTGATTTATCTTCTTCAAGTACTTCAGAAAATAGTAAGGTGTTTATCTTTCGTTAATTTGGACAATTTATCGATGATTATCACAATTAAACACTAATGATAAATTGTAGTAACATAAACAGATTCAATTACTTCCTCCTTTGGTTGGAATAATCAATTGGCTTGATAATATCTTTCTCTCTCTCACAAGCTACTTGGAAGCTTTTAATTTACCTCCGAAATTGCTTTTCTTTGTGTTGTCTTAATTACGATGATTAATCTGAGTGAATTGAGCTTTTTCAACTTTAAGAATTGTCATCAGGTTTTTTGTTGTCGTTGAAAAGAGTCTCACAATTTGAGTGTAGCTTTTTCCTTGGTTACATTTTGAATTACAGGATTTGTTGAATTGAATTGATCTAAATCGTATTGATAGAAATCTAATTGGTCAACAATTTACAAATTCAGGCTACTTTTCCGTCTTCTATGAAAGAAATTATTTTCTAAACGTTAGTCTGTTGATTTTGGAAAACATCTACAGATAATTGATATTCTTCTCGATCTTGGAATTGTTATTTCACCAAATTTAGAGTCACCGGCACTGAGAATTTCATGTTTAAATAAATATCGGGATTCATCTCTCATTATGTAAAGAGAACGACGTTTAAGCCAAACATCCATGGAAAGTGACGGATTTTGATCATGAGTAAATCTCATGATACAATCAGATAACAAGGAAACACCACCGATTGATGGTCCACAAAATTTAACCGAATCAAGGTGAGGCTTAATAAAACCATTAACAGAAAGATCTAAAATATGTACAGGTTGTAATATTTTCTCATCGGGACGGAAAACAATTGCTCTTATCCTATCAATAACCAATTGATTCTCTACTGACCATTTAGACTTTTCAATTTCACGATACTGTTTAATGGCCTGCAAAAGAAAATGAGAAAAAAAAATCACAATAAGAAAATAGAATAAAATAAAATGTAACAAACTGACATTGTCGATATGAGTATCATCATATTTATATCGCTTCAACACTGGTTCAACCTCTTTAACCAGATTATCTTCTTCTAGAGGCGAAATAAAATCCTCCTTAATTGTGAAAGAATCACCAATTATCTTTTGAACCTCAGGACAATTAAATCTAATTGTATTAACATCTAAATGACCACAACCAACAGGAGACTTAGAGGTAAGACAAAAAGAACGACATAAAGTCAATATTTTAGCTGGAATTTTGGTACAAATCATATTCCAAGCAAAAGTCCATCAAATTGTGGACAATTTGCAACAATTAAATTAGAAAAATAATCACAATTAACTAATTTAAAAGCAACAATTAGATAATCACCTTCACTTTTAAAGAGAATCACATTTTCCAAACAGATGGCAGAGTTGAAAAGGAAGAAAATTGTTTACCGTTGCCAGGCAACGAAAGAAAAGAAAATCAATTTCATTTCTTTCGTCATTCGGATTGGGAAGGAAACACTTTTGGTGAATGTTGACATTTTTTAAATTATTTCTTTTAATTTCTTGATTGTTTCTCCTTAATTAACCATTAATCTAACCTCGAGGTTAATTGTGATACTCTCCATTAAAAGATCTACAACTGTGTTAATCTTTTTTTCTCTTTGTGGTTTTTACTCTTTGGCTTGGAGATTATTTTTTCTTCTTTCGCCTTAGAAATTTTTTCTCTTCTCTTGATTATTTGTGTGTTTAAATTTCTTTTTTTTTCTTATTTAGTCAATTCTCTTAATTAATTGAATCAATTGTGTCTTTCATCTTATTTCTATTGTTGCTGAATATGTGGTGATAAATTTGTTCCATTGTTTTAATTTCTTTTTCTTCATCAACAACAACAAAAATCTCTAAGGAACAAGTGTAACTGAGATTTTCTACTTGAAAGGATTTCTCTCAATTTCTTATTGGTGGAAAGGTTGATTGTTCCTTTTTGACCCTCATTGTTTTCTATTTATTTCTTCATGTTTAATGCTCATTGTGACACCATGGATTCTAAATATAAAGAAGAAATGTCAGTTGAAGATGTCTATGAATTGGCCTCAGAAATTGGTAAAGAATTCGAGAAAATTATCGATATTCAAGGGAGTGGTAATGTGGAGAATTTAATGTCCAAAGTTATCTATATTCTACAACATTTGGAGGCCTGTTGTCTTAAAAGAGATGAAATTACCGTTGAATTGAAGACATTTCTTAATAGAATTTATCACCTGGAAAAGGAGAGAAACGAACGAGCTGAGAATCGAATGAAATTGGATAAAGAATTGGAACAAATTGAAGATAATTGGAGAAAAGAAAACAACGAGCTAATCAACAAAGTACGAAAATTACAATTAGAAAATCAAAGGTTACAAGCCTCCCTTTCCATGTACACATCTCTTCAGGGTGAGTAATCTATTAATAATTTAACCATCACGAGTTAATTACTAATCATAAGAGTTTGATTAGTGAAAGTGAAAATTAAATACATTAAATGTATTATGTTGATCAAACAATAACAACAAATATTATTCCCTCTCATTGAAAAATCTATTATCTTTTTCTCCTCTTCTACCCTAATTAGTTAATTGTTTCAAGATCCTCTTTAATAATTGATATTTTCTAGTGATTAATTTCCTCATTTGCTCTTAATCAATATCAATACAATTAGAAAAATATTTAAACCAATTGAATTCTATTCCCGCCTAACAATAACCTTTCACCTTGACAGTTTAATCCTCAAATCAATCAATTCAATTTCTTTCATTTCCCTTTTCTCTATCCCTATGAAATTATCAATGATCAGTATAGTTAATTGTCAAATCATTTAATTACTTAACGATTAACATTTAAAGAATCAACGATTTTTAGTTAATAGTTTAATCATCCATTGACCAGGTAGAGAGTTGAAATGAAAGGTCAGTTACACTTTTTAACTGAAAGTTCAATGAATTAACTATTATTTAAATTACAAGACCTCTAACCTTAATGTTAACTTGTTAATTTTTTTTTTCTATTCTCAACAATCAAAGTTAATCATTGGATTAACTGTCCACGTTATTTATTGATTTTTTTTTCGTCCTTCACTTAATTGTCGTAGTTTATGTTTAAGGTTAATCACATTGTCGTTGGTTGTTTTTAACAAGTCAAACAATTAACTCAATTTGATTTTACTTCCGGATTTTGATCAGATGATTGCTTCATTTTATTATTATTCAAATTAACTAATTGTTACCTTGATGATCATCGGTGTTTTTACAATTTAACCAGAAAAAAACCATATTGATATTTTGATATTTTTCAGATGATATTTAACACCATTGTAATATTTTAATTGTGATTAACAATTTGCCAACCTTGAATTGTTTTAAAAATTGAAATAACCAATTTAAAGTTAATTGTTTTTTGAAATGATTGTACAAATTATTATAATTTGGTTAACAATAGATTTCACTAATAACAATTAGATTTTTTGTTTCAATCTCTTTGTCTTCTAGAAACAATTGATAATTTAATTTAATTAAATTTCTTCTACTTCCTTTTAACCTTTTCTATCAACAATTTAGGTTTCGTCTCAATTAGTGAATCAAATAATGCTGAAGAGAATCGGATTAACGAATCTGAACTTAATCAACTACGAATCCAATGTGAGAATCAACAGAAAGAATTGGCTTCCAAAGACGAACAGATTGATGAAGTAATTACAATTTAATCTCATAATCAAACTAAAATTAATTCTCTTCACGAACCAGCATCACCCATAGATTATCAATCTTGTTATTGGATTGAGTTTAAAACTATATTTTCATATGCAATTAGTTGATTGTGACTGATTTTCTAGTTAAATTCATAGTCATTTATTGATTTCTTCAATAGTTTTCATCGTTAATTACAATACAATGCACTTAAGGTTGATTGTTGTTGTTGTTATTGTTTTTCTACCTAAATTGATTACTTGATTTACTACTTAAATTGTTGATTGTACACTAAATTATTACAAGATATTTAGAAACGTGACTTTCAATCAACAACATCAATTTAAGATACAATATATGATATTACAATCAACTCGAAAAAAAACATTTCTTATATTACATTATGTTGATTTAGATAATTTATTTATTAGAAAACTTTTTTCTTGCCTTAGTAACTGAAATTGATTTCGCTGATTGTTATTAATCATAAATATCACCGTAGTTATCAAAGTAATGTAAATATTTACATCTTATATTTTAATCCTTTATCCCATTTTTTCATTAATCTTAATCTTTTCCAATAATCCGAAAATGATGTTAATTGTAATTACTATTTGGTTGGTATCATTTGAATTATTCACTTTGACAAGGTTAATGGTTTTAGTTTTTCAAGGTTAACTGTTGTTTCTTTAATTAACTTAATTTGTCTAGAAAATATTAATTTGATTTGACAGTTTCGCCATTGTTATTATGTTTTGTCATTTACCAGTTTGATTACGTTGATGATTAAGCAAAAATGAACAACAATTTACAGTATAAAACATAATTGTTTTCACCCTTTTCCGGTTAAATGATGAACAAATTGAGTGACATTATTGAAATTAATTAATTTTCCCTTAATCATTCAGTATTTTATTTCTATTGAATAATTTAAATTCAGTTTTCAGGTGTGACAGTTTATTCATTTACTTGAATCTCAATTCTATTAGCTAGTAACCTTAATCATGATGACATTAAATATTAATAACTGATTATTTTGTAAACTAATTAATGATTAATTTTCTTTTTTTTTAATTGTTACAGTTACATGAACAAATTGAAGATTGTCAACAAAGGACACGCGAAGTTAAAAAGAAGCTTAAAAATTTAGAGAACAGTTTTGTTGAAATTTTGGAAGAAAATTTAACTCCTGAAGCTAAGGCGAACCTCGAAGGCGATAAAGACGAAGCCTCCTCGAAAAGCTTACCCACAAGTACCACGCTAAATGTATCACCGACAAGAACCACAGACAAAGTACAATCAACTAATCAACCTGATTTAGTAATTAATCAAGAATCTCCCCAACGATTATCGGACAAACAAAGACGAGAGATGATCAAGTCTCGTTTCTCATTTGCTGAGCTTCGAGAAATTATAATGGAGAAAAATAGACTTCGAAGTCGAGTTGCCAAATTAGAAGAAAGTTTAGCAAATTGTCGATGTCGAAGTCCACTTAAAGTCCGTTCAGTAGTTAATTCACCTCGTCGGATGCCCACAGTTTCGGACGACGCTCCAGTCCAAGGTCCGATCAATAAAGAACCCGAAGAGAAACTGTTCCCTTGGAAACGATCTTCGAAAATAGTTAAATTGTACGTTTACATAATTAATCTATTGTTTCCTTTGGAGTGATCAATTAATGTTAACAATCTTATTAATAGTAACATATCTTATAATTAAGTTGGATAATTAATTAATTGCAAAGATTTTGTCTTTATTTTCTCAATACCAATAAGATAATTCATAATATTCACTTATTGATCTGATCATTTATTTTTTGATCGATAATTATATTAATCGAAATCTAATTTTCGATTATTAATCCGGAAAATAACAATCAATTTCTCTGCTAATTGTTAACAATTAGACTTTAATTATTTTTTCTATTTTTCTTTTCCAGTTTTCCTTCATTCACTTGGGCCAATTTACGACTTTAATCATCATAAAATGAAAGAAATTCATTTAAATTGTGACATTCGACTTCTTCCATTCTAAGAGAATCAACAATCAGTTAATCAACTAATTTATACAAATACACAATCTCCAAAAAAGTATTAACCATCATCACCAAAACCACCGACATCATTTTACATTAACAACAATTAACTTACAACTTCATCAAGACAATTTAATCAACACAATCAATTTACGTGTTGAAATCTTAATCTTTTTCCTAAAATACCTTCTTTTTGTGTTATTTTAAATGAACAATCAATTTAATTAACAATAACTAATCAATCAGCTTATTTTATGTAATTTTTGTTGTACATAAATTAACAAAACCAATTTACATAATGATAACATTCAAAGTGTAATTACAATTGAAAAATATTTCCAATCTATTGTAATATTGATTAATTGTTATGTTTTCTTGATCTTCATGTTATGATTAAATACTTTCTAATCAATTCTTTAAACAATAAATTGATTATTTAAAGAGATAATCTCTTTCTCTCTGATTATTAATCCAGAAGGACAAATGTACTCTCTCTGTTAAGGTCAACTGCTCTTGATTAGCGTAATCATTAAAAAAAACTAATTGTAACCCTGAAGCTAAATGAGATTATCGAGAAAAAGTTGTTTCTAAATCATTTCAACAATTTGAGACTCGTTTTCTAAGGTAGAATTGATTTGTCTCAACAAGTTGATAGAAATCAAATTATTAATACAACTCATTTGTCTGTTGATTTTTGTAAACAATTGATTAACTCTTATTATCTTTTGATTATCGTTTCTTGATTGTTTCACTATCTTCTCAAGTTTAATCAAAGTCTATTGTTTTCCAACAGTTTAATTTGGATCTTTGTTGGGGAAAATTATCCCTCAGTACCTCTTGTTAATTAGTTTTGTTCAATTGTCTATTGATTTACTTTTCAATTCCAGTGGTAACAATTAACAAAGATGTCCTCATTTGATGAAATTTTTAAACAGAAAGATGAAGATTCTGGTAATTGTCAAAAATTGTGCAGTGAATATATTGGTGGTCCATGGATTGATTTAGCTGAAGATGATTTTGATTGTAAAATAATTCCGTAAGTATTGTAATTATTGTTTCTCATCAGCTAATTGTTGACTATTTTTCACTTCTTTCCAGTGGCGGTTTATGTAATCGGGTATTTGTATGTACCAACAAGAAACTTTCTGGTAAAGGGACGATAAAAATGCCAGAAAAAGTGTTGGTTCGCACCTACGGAAGTGCCTTTGTTGGTAAACGAGGAGACATGATTAGAGTTTCCAATGCCGCTTTACCGTTAATCCAACAGCAATTGTTTCACAATGACTTAGGACCCAAAATATTTGGTGTCTTTGATGAAGGACGAATCGAGGAGTATATTGAACATGAAGATGTTGACCCAAGTGACCGTCACGAAATGAAATTTTTAGAACCAGTCATGAGAAAAATAGCCAAAGTTCATAACCTTGATGTTGCCATATCGAAAAGGTCAACTTCCGTCCTTGAGATGGTCAAACAATGGTATAAAGATGGACTTGATAATAAAGCTCTATTCAATCCTGGTATTGTTAAACCAGAATTTGATGAGTTTCGAGTTGAATTAGCTGCATTCGATTGGTCTAGTGAGGTGACCTGGTTTGAGAAAACACTTAAAGTGGTCAATTCTCGTCCGGTGTTTAATCATAATGATGTTCAGTTTGCGAATATATTTTTACGTAAAAATGGTTCAACTATGGATGAGAAAATTTTCCTTTATGATTATGAAAATTGTTCCTATGGATTCCGTGGTTATGATATTGCTTTTTTCATTTACGCCAAATCGGTTGATTATTTTGTTCCCGAATTTTGGAAAAATGTTTTCTGGCCCAACGATGATATTGTCCGGCATTTGGTTTCCATTTATCGAGAAGAACATATTAAAAATTTATCTTCGGTTGATCCAATTATCGATTCACTGGATCATCTTTGCATGGAAGTTGATTTCTTTTTGTTATTGGTTCTTTTGCTTCGGCTTTGTGTCATCTACAAGAAAACTGGTGAAAACTTTCAAGAAGCTTTGGTAAGTTAACATGAATTGCGATTCATTTTGTTTAACAATTTAATTTGATTGTCACAGAATTTCAGTCACCAAGAATTGGCAAGGTACCATGAAAGGAAGAGGATTTTCACTGAGAAATACAATAAACAATTGAAGGCCATTGATGATTAAGTTGGTACCTTAAACGATTAATCACTTGAATAAAATTCCTCAAGGTTGAACAATCAATTTAAATCATCATCTTTAAAAAGTTGATTTGTTTTGTTATTTTCTTGGATTTAAAATATAAGACTCTTGGAAATCACAATTGTGGTTAAACTCATGAAATCATGGTTGTATTGAATATGAAAGAAATAAATTTTTCGTCTTTTTTAAATTGCATTCGATTAATTTTGTCTTCGGTAATAATACTTAGGTCTTTGTGGGTCGAAATTTAACTCGAGTATTGGACCTTCGTAAAAGTCTCCGGCAGTTTTGTAATTAACTCGAAAAGGTGGCTCTATGTTGATACAAGACGCTCTCATCGTTATGGGCTGAGTGCTTAGCCAAAAGTCCTCATGAGTCGCTTTTATATCCAAAGTAGAAGGTGGAACAGCGTCAATGATGTCAAGTTGTGTTAAACATGGACAGGAATCGATTATCCGTTGAATTATCGAGTTTGTAAGAGTTGTTCCGATTATTGTTAATTTTCTCAGTTTTGTGAAGTGTCGCAAGTTTATTGCCTCAAGTTGACTGGCCTGTTTAAAAGAAAAAGTTTTTTTGTTAATTCTTTAGTTCAATTAAACAATATTGAGTTTTACCTTTAAATCGTCCATGATGAGATGGATTATGTTATCTTCTATTCGGCCCATTAATTCATCGATGAAAACTCCGATTGATTTGTTGACACAGTTCCAAATCCAAAGGATTTTCAATGATGGACACTTTGAAATGATGTGGTAAAGATTTTCACTAGTTGAGACACTACCATAAGTTATACATAATTTTTCTAATAATGGAAAACCAATGTAATCTGATTGATTAAAATGATCTATAGTGTAAATCAAGAAAGGAGATAAATTAGCAAGTTTATGAGAAGTTTAAAAGAAATCAATTTACCTTCATCGTCAAATTCAGAGATGTATAATTGTTTCAATTGGGGAAACTTTTGACTGAGTAAACAAAGTCTATCATATTTCATCGGAGTGCAGGCGAGTTTTTCCAAATTATTTTTACCACCAGCGTCCGACAATTGAATCCAAGTAGTATTATCAAACTAGGAGAGGAAAATAATATAATTGAAATTAATTTTTTCCTTTAAATTAATTCTATGGTATAGATATTTTTACCGGAGACTCTTCAAAACAGAGATGAGATAAATTTCTACAATGAACAGCGATGCTCGAACCAACTTCAGGACAACCAATTATTTCTAATTCCTTGATTTGAGGAGCACTTCGAAGAGCTTTGATTATCCCGGTATCCTGAATCTCGTAACAAGAGTATAAGCACATGTGCTGAATGGAATTGGAATGCAAGAGAAAAAGAGATGAAAATGATAACGATGATTGTGATTATGATTGAAATTCAATCGTACCCGTAAGTTGGTACAAGCTTTAACGATCGCCATGAGAGCAGCATCTTCCATTATGGTGTCGTAAAAGATTAACTTTTCAAGCCGAGGGAACATTTTTCCTATGGAAGAGTAATGACAAGGTACGTTCTCGACTATATTTGGAGTGGTTGATGTATCGACCGGTTCAATTGTAATTTCCTTGACTTTTGGATGTCTTTTCGATAAGGCAGTGACATATTCTGAAAATGATTGAGCTGTAAAAGAAAAATACCAAATTATAATCACTTAGATGGAAAATCGTTGCAAGGAAGAACGAAATTGAATAGTTAAAGACTTACGAGATTCAATGTACTTATCGAGAGTTAATTTCTCCTTTTAGACCAAAAGTTGAGAATTAGTTCATTCCAGTGACGACAAACTAGAAGAATAATAAGAAATAAAAATTAATTAATTTGATTCAGTTAAAGATTTTGTTACAAATAAACTTACCTAAACGTACATTGTTGGTCTCTCTTAAAGTTTTAAGATATGAAAATATTATGACCAAAACATGATCAGGTATATGAGATACTATTGGCATTTTGATTACTAAATTTTCATCAAATTTAAGCTAAATCAATAGGGAACGTAATTAAATTAATAATTTGATGATAACAATAAGAAGACACAAACTCTGAAATGAAGATTGAAACAATGACCAGGAAACGTTAGATGAAAATAAAATATAGTTGGTTAATTGAAAATCCAGAGGTTCTCATTTGTCTTGTCAATCAATCAATCAATTAATGTTGACATAAAAAAAACAACAAAAACATCACAAGGTTAACAGTGAATGATTGAAACTAATTATAAATAGTAATTAAAATTTAACAACAACAATCCTTTCAAAATGAACACAAGAATCTGAAAGAAAAAAGATACAAATTATAAACAATTAAATGAAAGTAAAAATGAAAGCAAAGACATTTCACCGCGTTGTTAAATCAAAAACAATTAGAATATAAAATTAAACCAAAAGTAGTTAAATTAATTTAAATCAAATTGTGTTAACAAAACGATGAACGTTCAAATTAACAAAAAGAAAAGAAATTAAAATAAAAACAAATCACTAACCATCGGCTCTTCAAACACAATCACACAAAATTCAAAGGAACAATTAACCAATTTTAGCCAATTAAAAGAACAATCAAACAATTCAACTAATTAGAAATAAATTAATTTCTCATTAATCAAAATCCGAACCCAGTTAATTAAAACGAATTAGAATTTGAAAAACAAATAAAAAAAGAGAAAAAAAAAATCGGGGATCGTATGGTAATTACGCTTCGTTTTGTTCTTTTCTACTTGAGCCTAACAATCAGTTTGAGAATCGATTTGTTTTTCTGTTGATGTTTATTTATTTTCCTTCAATGTTGATATTAAAAATGATTAATTTAATTGTTTCCGATTCTCCTCCTTAACTGTTGATTACAATTTACTAAATATGGAGACAGTTTATTCATTCATTTGACATTAACTTTGGAATTTTAAACAAAACAATTACGAATTAAATGTGACCTCAAATTGAATTGAAAATCTAAACCAAATTTTCTGTATTATCATCATTATATTTTTTTCTTCCTTATCTTTGGTGTATTTTTTTTCTCTCTCTCTCTCTTTCTCTTACTATTATTTACTTTCTTTTTTTTCTCTCTCTTTTTTTCAATTATCTTTTCTTACATTTTATCATCTTTTCCTCTTACTTTTTACAAACCAAATCTTGTGTTTCCTTTAAACAAAAATTTCGTTCGTTAATTTCTGTTGTGTCTCACCTTCCTTTAGGTAAGTGAATTTCATCCTCTTCTCCAATTGATTTACATCATATTCTATATTTATGGTGAAACATTTTCTTTTCTATTCTAATTCTGTTGTAATAACAATAGTAATGTTACCTGCCTCATAGCAATAATCACACATCAACATAATTCAACAGTTTAATTGATCACTAGAAAGAGAGAGAGAGAAAAAGCGAGACAAAAAAGAAAGAGAATTGTGTTGTTGTTTTCATTTTCTTTCATCTCTCTTTTCCTCTTTCTTTTTTTTGCCATATCAAGTTGGCTTTAAGCTTTTGCCTTGCTGATTGATTTAACCTTTAACAATCAAAAGCTTTTTTTCTCTCACTTTCTCACTAATCTCTCATTCGAATTCCATTTTAATATCTGCCTTCTGTCTATGAAAATCTTGACCTTATCCTCTCATCCATCTCATTGTCTTATTCTAATTTTGTTTTGTTTTGTTTCTCTCTCTCTCTCTCTCTCCTACTTTTAGGTTCTCACATTGATTTATCTTTCTCTAAATGGAAACAAGGAACCTGATGCAAGCCACATTCAATAGACTCCCCACCAAGCTTAAAGAGCAGTGTGAAAATTGTCTATTCAATGATGTTGTCGGTCATGGTAAAAAAGCCGAGGAGATCCTATGGACTCGAGTTTTTCATGAACCCATGCAAGTTTACAAGCGTCTAAAAGGATCAGCATCAAGTTCAGATATAATATCTCTTCAAGTTCACTTTGTCTCTGGTGTGGGCTTCTATTATGGTTTATTGCGTAAAATATCCGCCGAGTATTCAATTAACTTTGGTTCGGTTTTAGGAGAATTAAATCAAAATCTTAAATACAGTGAATCAATCAAAAATGAAAGAAAACGCAATATAACCTCACAAGAAAAAGAAGCCATTCGTTCAGTTACCCATGGAATTTTTATCCATCTTGGTGATATTTTCCGTTACCTCGATAATCTTGGTTACCCTGAAAGTAAATCAATGGCCATTAAATGGTACAACTTTGCCATTCTCTTTGAACCAACCATTGGGATGCCATATAATCAGTTGGGCACATTGTCATCGAGTTATAATTATGGTTTCGACTCAGCTTATTACTACATGCGATGGTATGTCTTTCTAAATCTCATCTGCTTTTTTACCTTTCCTTTCTCTCTCTCTCTCTCTCTCTCTCTCTCTCTCTCTCTCTCTCTCTCTCTCTCTCTCTTGCTTTTTACCCAAAGAAGAAACTTCAAAGATAATATTCTCTCTCTCTTTCAATTTCTTCTATATAATTTATCGTTTGTTGTCATAGATGTCACAGATTTTAATCAGCGTTTAAATGACTCTTACTTTGTCTTTCTGTGTATTTTCCTGTTTCTTTCCTTTCTAATCCCTCTTTCTTTTGTCTCTTTCTTTGTCTTTTTCTCTCTCACAGTCTCATGAGTGAAAAACCTTTTGATGGAGCTGAAGGTAATCTTAGAAGAATCTTGATGTCATCTCCTAGATTTCTCGCCGATGAGATGAATAAAAATCTAACAATCGATTCATTGGATGAAAATGGAGCTCATATTGTTAAAAAATGTATCATTCAACTTCTTGTGGTGGCAAATGAAATTTTCAACCATGGAAATAGTAAATCAGATATGGATGTTGCCAATTCTATCCAAGAGTTTCTTACAACCCTGACCATTGCTCTTAACTTGTCACCAAAAACCCGAACTCCTCACAGACCAACTTATCTTGATCCAACTCTCATCTTTGAAATGGGAACCATGTCATTAATGTTTATCACTTATCTACGAGCCAATGGAATAGGAAGTGGAATTTACTATTCAGCTAGTGTCGCCTTAGCTTTGAATTTCCTTCTGTTAAATGTTAACGCGTTTCTACTTCGATTCAAGGATAAAATTGACAAGCTCAATATGCCCCAGAAAACCAATTCAACCCTAAATAATACCACTAATGGCTCTGGATTAGGAGCTCCATCATCATCGAAAGAAAATTCTCCCGAGTTTTCACCTCGTCGAACCTTATCCCGACTTCGTAGGCGTAAAGCAGCCATAACATACGAAAACATTGATTCTTATTTATTAGATTTCGATGAAGATGATTCAGAATTAAGTGAACTGGAAGAAACCGCTTTAAGTACTATCGATGCCCTTGAAATTAGCTCAGATATAAGTGAATCTGGGAGTGTTTGTGATGAAGAAGAGTACACATTGAAGAGCAGTGATGACGAAGATAGTCAAACAGCTCGTTCTAACCTTAATGAACAATCAAATTTAAATACAAATGCCAATGTTGAAGAGATTCTTCGTTATCTTTTCTGCGAAACCAGTTTACCAACAATTAAAACACTTTGTGATTGGCTTCGAGTTGATCAAAAACTGGTAGCTTTCAGTGCCGAATCAATAAATGGACTTTTCTCCCAATTTGCTGAGATGTTGAACATTTTGAAAGACGTTGAAATCAAAGCTCTTGCCTTTAATACCAAATTGGAGCGTCTTAAATATACTGATCACAATTGGGTTCAAAAATATCCACTCTCATCAGATATGAATCTTTTAAAGTTCAAATTATTGGATAAATTTCATTCTTCATCAATTTTTGTTGACAAATATTGTGACACTTTAAATGCCGAGGAAATGGGTTTCCTAACACTTGAATGTATCATTAGTTTTGGTCATTTTCTAACCAATAATATGAACAAAAGTCAATTATCTTATGACGTTGCCACTAGAAGCTTCAAATATGATGAATTAACATTCAACGAGGTGAAAAATATTAAATTACCTCGAAATTTATCATCAACCGCAAATGGTACCAATGGTGTTAAAAGTTATTCCCGAAAAATGGATTCTATCTCTCAGGAAGATGATTTTCTATTAACAAATAACAGTAAATCAAAGTGGAATAATTTTGAAGGAAATGATATGAATTCGTCACAAGGAAATGATTTAATTAAACAGAAACAAGTTATGAGAAACATGGCTCATCTTTGGTTGAAAGTAAGAGATGAATTTATGTTTTTATAAAGATTTTTAAGTTCTATGGAAAATCTTCCAAGTTTAATATTTCAATTCTATTTACATTTTGTATCTAATTCAATTCTAATTTTGTTTCTTTTCTAGTCTGAAGTGAGTTTCTTGGAAAAAGCGGTCAAAGGGAAAGATTCAACTTTGCCTCCTTATGTTATCATCCATGTTAGTGCTTATCTCTATCAACTGACCGCTGTCCGTGATTTGATCTTCTCTAAACGATTCTTTGTTGTGGTTCCTAAGATCGGTGAGTAGTATCAAAATTGTTTAGTGTCCAAATTGATCAGCTGATTGTAATTTACTTTTATTATTTTTTCCTCAAAATAGTTTTGCAAGATCTTGACCATCACAAGAAAATATGTCCAGCCGCACGTGAAGCTATTCGATTGATTGAAAATGAGGCTCAAAAAGGTCGTTTTATAAAATTTCTAAATGATCGTGATCGCAGTTCTTTAGCTCCACTTAAATATCCACGACGACGAGATCGTGAAGCATTTGATTTCTTCATCTTCTTGGAGTATTGTAACTTCCTTCATAAACAGAAAAGCAATTCTAATTCATCGACAACCACAACAACAACAACCACAACCACAACAACGACAACAACCCTCGCCAATGAGAATCGAACCTCTGTACCCATGGTAATCGCTCTTTACGGTAACAATGCCAAGCTACCAGCAAATGCCGATGTTCTGGCTCGTAGCACTGGTATTACGATGGAAAAAATTGACGTGTTTAACTCTAAATGGCGAAACTCACGAAAAACTCGTACTTGAAATTTGGACCATGGACACTGATTCAATATAAACCAAAATTGCAAGACTAAAAAAACTGATTAGGTCCAGAAACAAAAGGGATTAACTCTGCCAACCCATGAAGGAATGACTGAATTCCGGGTTCCAGTTATGAACTGAATAACTTGACCCATCTGATTGGCTGTGATCCATTCATTTGGTCAAACAAGACCTAAAAAACAACAACAACAACAACAACTACAGCAACAATTACAACCACAAATACAACAAAGTAAAAAAATCGAAACAAACAAAAAAAACAATAACTTCTTCCGTAGGTTCTTGGGATCTCGATTAATTTGACTGATATAATGTCTTTAATTTTAGAGGAATTATCATCCATTCACCTCATTAACCAAATCAAATCAAACCATTAAATCAACAATCAACACAGAAAATCAATTGAAAACGTTACTCCCTCAGCGTGTGCGTGTTTATTTGTTTACGAGTTATCGTTGATCATTAAATGGTTTTTCAATTTAATTATTGGGGACTACAAATTGGATGAAAATTTAAACTACAAAATCAAATCAACTTTAACCAAAAAAAGACTCAGCAAAGATTGACCAATCCTAGGAAAAAGATGAATGAACTTAGAGTTGTAAAGTAACAATTTGAATTAATGGTGACAAATCTAAATTATGGAAACAACAATCAGCGATCAAATCAATTATCAAAACAAAATCTTAAACGTGTTAATTTGCTGATAAATAGCCGATAATGTAAACAATCAATGCAGAGATTGTAATGATCGGGCTAATTAAGCCTTCCACTGATTCAGTTGTTATCGAAACAAAAGGAAACCCCCTATATTAATTAATTGGGTTAATATTTAATTGCGAAGATGTTTAATTGTCTTTGTCTTTCTTTATCTCTCTTTCACTTTCTATTTGCTTATTGATTTTTCTTTCTTCATATATAATCTGAATGTTTGATTGGTTGATTAGACCATAAACCGAACAAGAAATCAGCTAATTGTTGTTTAATCATTCAACTTGTTGATTTTTAACCTTGTTTTCCTTTTTCAATCACATCCCATCTTTAATTTACAATGTGTTTCAATTTAATTCACCTTATTAATAAACACCATTAATCATTTAAATGATGTGTTGTTTTAGTGTTATTTTAATTGCGTCGATTGGTAATAATAATAATTGACAATATTTTTGATTCGTATAAGTCGTTGTTTGATGTTTTCGTCTTCTTTGGTAATGATGATGATTGATTGTTTGAATGCTTAGTGACTAGATGATATAAGTGAAGGTAAACTGGGAGACAATGTGATCATTGTATTAACCAAGATTAAAGTAACAATCAATGAAAACGTTTCCATCAATTTGATGCTCAACGAGTTTGTATTACAAAGATCATCTGAACAACATGAACTACAATAATGAAGTCTAGTTCGTTCACCTGGTAGACAAAACAAGAATCAAGAGGGAGAAAGAAAATATAAAAAAAAAGAGATTAAGGAAACAAATTGAAGAACGATTTCAACTGATTAAGAGATTATTTCAGGTTTTACCTAATATTATGCACCCTTGAATACACGATGAGGAGCATTTACGTTCCAATGCCCAGAAAATTGTACCAGTATGATCAGATTTTTCGTATTCAATTCGTGTCACTGAGCACGATTTCTCCTTTGATTGACATTCTCGAGAAAGATATTCTTGTGTTGTATTGCTAACATTCAGACAATAGGGATCTTCCAGTGATGAACATGAATAACATGAAAGATTAACCATGGTTGGACGATTTGTGGCAATTACCATAGAGCTCTCAAGGCACCAGGCTCCTGTAAAATTAATCGAATAACAATTGAAATATTATACAATCAGTTTATAAGCGAATAGAAATTATTTACCATTGATGAATGATAAATACATGAGGATTGCAATTAAACAGTTAATCATTCCTTTTGCCCGAGAAAACAATTAGATTGTTTGTCCATTTGATGATTGAAGAAAATTGATAAAGGAAAAGATTCCAGATAAAAACTACAGAAAGATAGGGAAAAACACTGATGGTGATTGGGATGATTTGGCTTTCGAAACTGTTTAGATGTTTTTTTGGGATTTTCTTTTCCGTCCACCAGAATTGTTCATTATCGTTTAACCGCAATTAATTTAGAATTTAACTGTTCCTTCAAATTACCTCACTGATCAAAATAAGGGATAAAAAATAAGATAAAAAGATGATCATAATCAGAGATTTAAAGGAAAAGTAAGCCTGATGAACGCATGAACCAAAAGGAGAAAAATCTTCATCGATCCATTTTCCCATTTCCTATTCTCTCAAAGAGAAAGAGAGAACGAGAATAAAAGAAAGTATAATAAGAGGAATAGCTAATAACTTACCATATGAAGAAAAGAATAAAAATCTTGTAGAAAATTATCATTTTTGATTATATGATAATTTAATTCGATCAACATTGTATCCGTTGAATTAGTAAACAAAAAGATCACCAAAGATTAAAGACTAATTTTCTCATTCCAACCAAAGAGATCAGCAGAACCATAATTGACAAGAATCCATCATAACTATAGAATTAGAATAAGGAAAAAGAAGAATAAAAAAATTAAATTAAATTATTCTTGAGATTAATTAGATTATAATCAATCCAATTAATTAGAAATAAACATTTGAGATTTTGACAGAACATTTTTTCAAATTGGAAACATTTTTTTTCTCTCAATTGTGATTGGCCCATTTCGAAATCGACTAGTCTGCCATCTAGCGAATAATTAGTTTACTTTAGAAAAAAACAAATATAAATTCCCACTTGGAATTAGTGATTGTTTATTTCTAAGAGTGATTTGATTAATTGCTGTGTCATTTAAAGAATTGTTTTTTCTCTTTAACCCTTGAGATTATGGTTATGGAAAAGGTGAAGGTCAAGGTAAAGTATAAATATCCACCAGCGGATAAGAATATCGTCTCTAATATAGCAAAAGCTTGTCTTGAATATCCAAAGTTTTATTATCAAGTTTGTCATTTGATGAACAAAATGAATATGATGCCACCATTTTTACCGATTGTTGATTATCCTCAATTTACTAATTTACCATCGGATGAGATGATTAGTCAACCAGCTGAAAGTTTAACCCAAAGAGAGACTAAAATTAGTGATACTTGTAAAGAGCTTGATGGTGAAGATGAAGATGAGGAAAGTGAAATTGAATATGATGGTAATTATATTGTCAATGATGAAGATAATTGTTGGTCTGCTGTTAATGGAAGAAGCTTCAAACGTCAAAGGAGAAAATTAAAGGTCGGAATTTTAGGAGAAATTAAAAAGAAGCCCAAAAAGCCTGATAATTATCAAGGAATATCAAGTTCAATGTGTATTGATGGTGGTAAACAACTTGAATCAAGTTTAATCAACTCAACAATTCCACTGAAACCTGTACCAATTAAAATTAATATTCACTCAGAGAAATTGATAACATCTTCATCTTCTCATGTGATTAATATAAATGATGGAGAAACAATTAATCAACCATGTCAAGGTTTCGGTTTAATGACACCAAAAGTTTCCAAAGGTTCATCAAAAGTTGAATATGAGCCTGTTGTTGATAATAATACTTGGATTAATTGTCTAATTACTGATGAAACAATCAGAGCTAATCGTTTATCCACCAATGAGATGATCAATACTGTACCTGCTTATACAAATTACTCACCTGGATTACCAAGTTGTAGATTGTATTTGAAAAATTTATCCAAAAAAGTGACAGATTATCAACTTAAATGTATCTATGGACGTTATGTTAATCTGGACAATGAAAGTGAATGTAACATGTAATTAATTGAAACAATTAAGAGTTAAAGTGATGAATGGTAAGATTAATTATTAATTTCTTCTCATTTAATCAGGTTTCATGTTCAATTATTCAAAACTGGTCGATTCAGGAATCAAGCCTTCATTAGTTTACCTAATCAAGAATCAGCATCTTTAGCCCTGAACGAGACAAATGGTTATTTAATTGAAGGAAAACCATTAATTGTTGTAAGTTTAATTGTCTTTTACCATCTTCTCACAATTAATATAAGATAAACTAGCTTTTCATCTAATTGTTACATATCTCTTAATTTCTATCAGTCTTTTTCCCGATCAACCAAATCAACTGATTCCAATTGATTATTAAATTGTCCAATTACACTTATCAAAACATCGTCCTGATTGATAATAATTTACACAACAATTAACCATTTCTATTCAAATGTAAGTATCAATCTCAAACAAAACTCTAACTAACAAGTACAGAATTCACTTTAATCACAGTTAATTGTTTCTTCGGATGTTGATTTCGATTATTATTAATTATGATGATAGAAAACTTCCACAGAAAAAAAAATCATAAATTGATTATTCCCTTTGTCGTTAAATTTATTAAAGAGTAGAGAATGAAAAAGTCTCAATATCAACAATTAACTAATTATTAATGTTGATCCGAGAAAAGTGTTTGGATCAACCTAATAGAAAAATTATTTTCGTCAAAATTAAAAGTGAAAAAAGTTCTGATCCAATAATTAGATTATTAGAAGAAAATTCAATTAGATTAGAAAACGAATAGAAAATATTATCATTTCTTATAAGCGAGAAGAGGAAAAAGTTATTCCCTTTCTGCTCATATGTTTTATCTGCTTCTTTTCATGAGTCTCCCTGTTTTTGTTTACTCTTTTTTCATTCTCAGCTCAGAGTAGAAACAATTTCATTCTCTTTTTTGTTATTCGTTTTGTTTTTTGGTTCCAATTCCATGTTATTATAATTTCTTATTATTGTGATTCCATTTATTCACCTGATTCATATTCACTCAACCCACTTAACCCACAAATGTGATTCCATTTCAATCTCCACCCTAACGAATCTCAACTCTCTCTCTCTCTCTCTCTCTCTCTCTACTTGAGACCTTAAGTTGATTTTAAACCCTTGACCTAATATATTGTTTTCTATTCTTTCAATTCTTGTTTATCGTTTTCTTTTCTTCTTTTTTCTTTTATTCTTTTATTTCCTCTGTGGATAATCGAACAGAAAATGATCTTATTCTAAGTGTTCTCCAATCTTTTTGCTATTTGGTGCTACAAGTAATTCTCCGTTAATCAAGTGGAGTAGAAATTGACCAAACCGGTGAGACATTTTTCTCAATTAAAGGTAAAGTATCAATTAGATTTTCCTATTAACATCGATACATATAATTCTAATATTTTATATTTCTATTCTCTCTCTCTCTTCTCTTATATTCTTTTTATTTCCTTACTCATTCAACTCATTCTCAACATGGACTATACTTTAATTCGTTAATATCAATTAGCTTTTTCTTAAGTTCTCTTTTTGATTGGATTAATTTCTCTCATATGCATGGAGAACATTTTTCTTACAATCATCAAGATCTTCCTCTGATTGGTTATAAATATTATCCAGAAATAGCATATTGAACGAAACAAAAGTCCAAATCTACATAATGTTATTGATGTTGTTAATTATGATGCAACTCAATTTGTATTAGTTAAAAGAGGAGAAAAAAACGAATTCAAATGAAAACCATGATTAACATGTTAATCATGAGCCTTCTGTTGATACATTGCAAAGATTGTACAAAGAAAAGCAAATTGATATAAGAATAAGGCCAAATCCTGTCTCCATTCATCAATCAACAAGCATAATTTTCATGGTAAGTTTATATCATCCCCTCTCCCCATTCTCCCTTTCTCTCTCTCTCTACTTGTCTGTCGTTCTCTTCCTACTCCATCTTTGCTCCCCATCACTCCCAGTTATTATTCTATTCTCCCTCCCAGAATCACAAAATCCATGGAACTTCATGAAACTAGGTCGCCGCGAAGGGTTACTCTTTCTATTCCATTTTCCTCTCTCTTTCTTATTCTCGCCTTATTCCGGTCTTGTCCTAGTTTTTTTCCTCTCTCTCTCTCTCTCTCTCTTTTCTATCGTTTCACTTACTCCCAGTTCAACCTCCATCTCTCTCTTTCATCAAATATCTTTCCTCTGTTTACATTTCATCCTAATCGATTACGAATTTTGTTTTTTTCTTTCCTCTCTCTTTCCAAATAATTTCGTTACAAATACTATATCGTAATAACAATCATATCCAATAATCTTGTCTAATCAAATCTCCAATGAACATTGAATGTTAATCTAAATGTTGAATTTACTGGAAAAATACATATAAATTAATTACTTTGCACAATTTAATTAGTCTAAGAAACTTTTCCAATTGTTTCAACACTGTAAGAATATAATTTTTCGGGTCAATGCAATTGCTTAATCATGTTTTCTACCTTTTTTTTACTCATAGATTTTGCTGATCGTAAGGAAAATGCACTTTTTTATCATCTAATGTGAATTTAATTGTTATCATCAACCCGTTAATCAAATTATACATACGCACATACATATATATATATCACAAGATTTTGATATTAATTGTTAATAGTTACCGTTACAATTGTTAAATTGTTTATCTTTAACTCTACGAATAGTTGATATCAGTAATTAAATTTGTTAATTCGCACAATGGTAAGTTATTGGTACAATTTAATGAATTTTTTTTGCGCTTCTTTTAATTTAATTGTTTTCTTTTCTTTTAATTATCTTTTCCAATTAGCATGCAAAAGAAAAGCCATACAAAATATGGAGTTGTGATCGTGAATTGCGAAAAGCTGTGATCGCAAGTTCCTTGGAGGAATTAAAATCCATTGGAGCTTCTAAATTAGGTTATTCAACTGATAATCCCAATCAATTGAAAATTGTTCTTGAATCTGATGGAACTGAAGTAGAAGATGATCAATATTTTCAATTAGCTGATGATGAGACGATTTTTCTTCTTCTTCAAAATGATGAGAAATGGATTCCAGCGGGAGTTGAAGCTCTTAAATCAGGTAAAATTTTCACCAATAACCGAAAATGAACTGATTTTTTATTCTAAAGATTATTTAATTTACTAACTTGATCTTTTCTTTTATTTTCCCTCATTCTTATTCCTTAGCAATCTCTGATTTTCCAGGGAATGTCACTGTGGTTCTACAATTGGATAATCGTGATCCGGGAATATTACTAAAAAGAGGTGAACCTCCCTGGAAATTGGAAGTTGTTTCCGTCACTGATTCTAAAGGAAATGTTGATAATCAAGCTCAAACTCAACAATCAAAGGCTACAACTTCATTAACATCTAATTCAATTAATTCTGGACCATTATCATCACATGTTTTATTATCATCAGGAATTTCTGGAACTGGAATCTCAATTTTACCTCGCTCAACCCTAATGGTTCAATCGATTCAGCCAAATGGTTTAAACTCATCATCACCTTTATTATTATCATCATCATCTCATCATCGTGCCAATTTGACACTTGACGGCCTTAAACTACGATCACTATCTACCGAGAGTACTGATAGGGGTCAGTCAACTGGTCAGATAAAATCGACAAGTAAAACAATTACTACTACAGTTCGAAGTAAAAAATGTAGTAAAAAATTGATTCCTGGTTTGGAAGATGATGTTGAAGATGTTGGTGATCAGGGAAATGACGATGATGATGATGATGAAGATGAAGATGATCTCATGGTCGGTGAGGTTTTGGGTAAAGAAAATGAGGAAGATATGTCCGAGGAAAGTGGTCAAGGTGATGTGACAATTATCCAAGGTGAAATTAGTCCGAATCACGATCATTCTCAGTGTGATTTTCATTGTGCCGCTTTACATCGAGACGGAGGTGAAATAAGAGTAAGTTTAATTCAATTGTTTGGATTGGAAACATTTTGTAAATCATTCTAAATTTAATTTCTCCGTTTTCTATTAACATTATTAGGTTAGTCGTTCGGTGGCAACATCACCGATAACAGAATCTCCTATTCCGAATGGCCTGTTATCATCATCACCGGTCTCAATTAATGTTCCAATAATTACTGGTCCTCATTTGATTACTTCGGGAAAACCTCGGCAAACAATTAAAGGTCATGTACGTTTCATGGACACTGATTATACCCATAATGGAGGATTAATTAATCAATCAAGCAAAGAATCAAACAAATCACAGCCTAACACTGCCAATAATTTAAACTCATCAACATTGAGCTCAAATAATAATAAAAACGCTTATCAATCAGTGAAAAAATCAACAAATTCACAAGTATCAACACCGACAACAAATGGAAATGGTTCAGACTCGGAAACGGAAACAACGGAAAGAGATGATGAACAATTAAGTGAACGTTATTTACTACTAGTTGATCAATTAACAGTTAAACAAGATCGTCACCTTAATCTGAAAGATATTGGAATCATCTTGGAACGCCTTAGCTCTAGAATAATTGATGTGGATAAATTGGAGAGAGAAAAAGAAGGAGCTGATTGTTACAATTGGATAATTAAGGCAACAATTAGAGGTGAAGTTCTTCGGGAAATTGGAGTGATTTACAATGGTCACTACTATGGAATCATGGAGCATCCTGGCTATTTTTAGTGAGAAAACAAACCGAACAATAACAATTTAACTCCAAATCGAATTAGTTAAATGAAATTTGAATTTCGTATACACGAATCAAGATTATAAATTGTTGACCAGAATGATTATCGACAATTTGAAATGGATTCTTATTTAATTAATATGATTGTTATTCCAAATGAATGAAATAATTTTGTGATGAAACAAATTACAACAAGGAAAAAAAGTTACAATTTAAACTGCAAAGTTATCAACAAATTAAGCTAATTTAAAGTTGATTATATTGATCAACAAGTTTACTAGGAAAAACCAAACAAACTAAATTACTGCCAAATTATAATGTTATTAATTGTTACTGATTATAATTGAATAATTAACCTGATTTTTGCCATGAAAACGGATTGAGAATTCAAAGAATCAAAGCCTGATCATTGTTCAAAATCTTCCTCACAATTAATTAACTATCATCATCATAATTGTTAAATCTTCTTCTTCTTCTTCCTCTGTTTTCTTACCTTTTATTTTAATTATAATCAACTAACTAGTTATAATTGTTATCATTTGAAAAAACAATCAGTCTTTTCTCAATGATTAGATTTTTGTTTTTCTTTGAGTAAAAAAAGTTCATTTTTATTTGTAAGTTTAATTCATTGATTATTAGAAATTAACCGAATTGTTAAACATTAAATAAAACGAAACGAAACTGGTTTAATTAATCCACATTTTTTTTCGACTAATCAATAACTCTGATAAATGATGAAGGAATAATATGGTATTGTTATTTATCAAGTGCGAACGTTAATCAAGTCTAATTAAATCCACAGTTTCAGTGAAAAATAATAAAATTCCCTCGGGTACTAGCAGCTCGTGATACAAACTCTAAATTGTAAATACAGTCCGCGTCAAAAGTTTAAAGACAACAATCAACTTTTTCAATAATCCTTGTTTATTTTTTTCTTTTCTCTCTCAACAATCACTTGATTAAAGGGGTATGTCAACCCTAAAATCGACCTCCGTCAAACACAAAATTAATAATTGTTTTGCATAGACCATTCAATAAACTCTTTAACCCTTTTTAAAAGTTCTAAAAAAGTTCTGGTTAGGCCACAATCGGCGTTCGAAGTTTTTTAGTTTTTTGGCCATAACGCGTAAACTAAACAGAATTTCATCGTGATTTTTTGTCTCAGATTAGTGTTTACTATGATCCGTTGACTGACGCTAGTTTTTAGGTTAAACATTATTAGGTCACAAGATAGGGACTTAAGGTCACTTTTCTTAAAACGGTTCGCATTTGAACATTTCGTCGTCAGGACCCACCTTAAGTAGCTCAAAATGATCACGAGATAAAGGTCCATAGCTGGACTCGAGCTTTTTTCGATAACTACTTTGATTGATCTGCTACAGCGGGTGATCATATTTAGGACTTATAACTTCGGGAGCTCGTAACTTCTGAACCAAATGTCACAGATATATCAAAGTTAGTGTGTTATGCCTGTAATCTAGTCGCATAAATATCAAAGTTCGAGTTCATTCAAGGTCATTGAAAAATTTTAATTCTTGAACTGTATTATGTAATTGTTAGAAATGTTTTCGTGTTTTAATATAAGTGAAATGTTATGAGGTCACATTGCATAGCTTATTCATCATCATCGATCCAGTCTTCAATAGTGTTTAATTTTCATAGGAGCCGATACAGTGTATCTCTATTTCTTCAGATGGAATATGACGAGCGTATCCCAAATAACACATTATTGTGGCGATATGACAGCAACATCCAACAGTGCGGGCACCATTCTTACATGTACAATAATATCTGATGTCAAAATCCCCATCATCTTTATCATACAGTATATAAACTTGGTATTTCTTCTTTCCTCTTTCAAGTCATTTTGATTTGTTTCTCCAACATGACCCATTGTTTTGTTTATTTAGTTTCTCCCCAATCAACCAAAAAGAATATCTTATTTTTATGCAAGATACAGGTGTATTGCTTTTTTGCTAATGGTTCTGAAACAGACGGGCTCATGTATTTTGCTAAAAAACCTTTCGCTTGCTCCAGTGAGATTGATCTATTTTGCTGGTCAAAAATATAATATTTAGTATCACTGAACAGAACAGCATGATCAGAATTGATCATAAATTCTGGTTCATCGGTGACACTTTCGGGCTCCACATCTTTGTAACTTTCACCGGTGGAACTTTCTGGTGTCTCTTGTCTTTTCCTCTCTTGCTTCTCTTTTCTTTTTTTCTCTTCCTTCTCTCGTCTCTTTCTTTTCCACTCATCTTCTTTCTTCTTGAAATGAGCCATCATGTCCGCATACCATGAACTCAGATCTGACATATAACAATTGGATTGTCGAAAATCTCGGACTCTTTGTTCACGGGGAGAAGGAGGTAGATGATATTGTGGTTCCGGGTGTTCAGGTTCTTGTTGTTGTTGTTGTTGATATTGATGTTTCTGTTGTTGGTAGTATCGGCGTCGTTCTTTGTTTCTAGCAAACGCAGTCCCATTCACCTTGAAATTTTTTTTTATTTTTGAGTTAAGCTCAATGAATTGCTTAACATCGAATGGTCCGATCTTGTGAACTCTCTGTAAACTAGAGTTCGCTTTATCGGGGTGCATGGCCTAAAGAAGCTTTTTCAATGCCTTATTGTATTCTCAAAAGTGACACTTGGCAATAGGCCCATTGCCTTCAATAAAACATTCACCTTGTAAAGGACATTTTGTAAACCACTAATTAAAATTAAAACTGAATGTATAAAAACACAGATGAAACTAAAACTGAATGTATACAAATTAAAAAAAATGTATGAAGAAAATAGCTAAGGATTGTCTCAGGTTACTTTCGTGCGCTTTTATATTTAGTTAAATTCATTTATTGACAATCCCAATGTAATTTCGCATCTCAACACTTTTTCACCATTCAATCGACTTGTTTTATTTAACAATAGTTGGTGAAAAAATGGTGAGATACGAAATTACAATTAAAGTTCTTGTTCTTTTTTTACTTTTATCCTTTTTCTTTCTTCTTATTATTTGCCTGACAATCCCAATATAATTTCGTATCTCACCATTTTTTCACCACCTCTTGTTAAATAAAACAAGTCGATTAAATGGTGAAAAATGGTGAGATACGTTGGGATTGTCATCTAAGTAGTAAGTAATTTGAATATCGCGTTCATAGAATTTCCCGCTTTGATATTCTCTTTCGAATATTTAATTTTCATTTTAATTTTAATTTTGATAAATACAGTTGATCATTTATCTTTGTTTTTTAGTTAAAATGAAATTTCTTTTCCTCACTGTTATCACCAAAAAGATGTATTTTGGAATTCAATTGACCATTTATTGTCACGCGATCGAAATTTAATTGTGATCGCGTCGTTTCAGGAAGTCAAAACTAGCGTCATGTTAGCCCTTGGAAGTGATTTGACCAGAACTTGGGCTGCAAACGATCCTCGGGGCTCATTCATGTATAGACTCCATGGCACCGAGCTAGTCACACTTGTCGCTCAAGCTAAAGTCACCCGCATAAGAACTTATCAATGTACCCGATTGGACATCCAGTGTAACTTAGTGCGGTTGCGTTCGGAAAATTCACGAAATGGAATTTTTTCAATGGCCATCATCAATCTTCATAGAAGACCCGTTAATGATGATTCGAATTTGAAAGAGTTTTTGTCCGTCATTGCGTCGCTAGTGGAAGGGAAGGAAGACGCCGATGGAAACCAATACGCACCAGTGGATGGGTTAGTGTGTGCTGGTGATTTTAATATTAGAAATGTTTCATCCGACTCTGGAAAAAAATCGAGATTGGACAAGTGGGAACGAATTCTCAAGACGATATTGGTTGAATACAATCTGGTTCCCAATTGAAACACTGAATTAAGATCAGTTTTTTAAGCGAATTCTGAAAAATTTATTTTTATAAAAATCTGAGAATCCACTGACAAGATATTAAAAGTATCGAAAAAAAAATATTTTGAAAAATTTTAATTTCAGGTCAATTTGATCTAATATATTAACGCCACTTTTGACCTTAATGATGTGAAATTTGTATGCAATGGTCTCCCACGTGTTAAATATCAGAAAATGAAATTTCACAGGAAAATTCAGTACGGTTTTATGAAGGTTTGACCAAAAGTTTCATAATTTATCCTCACAGGTTAGTAGTTTTGAAAATGAAAAGAAAACTTTAAGAAAAAAGAAAAAGAAGATTTTAAATCTTTCCCACTATGAGTGAGGAGGTCTAACTCGGAATAAATAATTGACCCCAAATAAGTTTATCAAAATGTGATTCTCGGTACAAATGAAATAATCCCAATCGGTAGCCGTTTAAATTGGAAAGCAAAATATTAAGTTTACTTCCGCTCCATACAGGAATAACCAACCATTTCCACTTTTGAGAGCAGATTTCGCGAAAACTATTCGTTCAATTTTCGATCTAATGACTCCAATCGATAGACGAAATGTGTAAATTTTGTTTGGCGTTATCAAGAATATGACCACAAAACTTAAATTTCTACGATGACCTTTCAAAGTCGGAAAATGGTAAATTTGGATGCAAAGGATTTCTTGGTAAGTTTTTTTCGGCCATTCAAAAGTCCATATTTTATTGCGTAGATTGAGCTAATTCGTTTTTTGATCTGACGTAGGACTGATCGGAGTAATTGTCATTCAAAGATGAGAACTTGATCCATTGGCCATTGAAAAAATTTTGACTTTTTCGATCGTCATGAAATCTTGCCCTAGTAAACTCCCGGCGCTGAAAATGATAGTCAGACCAAAAATCAGATCTAAAGTTGTTAAACGCGCTCAGCAAAGCGGCAACTTCTTCCATGAAAGTAACAAATAGTCCATGATTCCGGGCATACGCAGGTCTTGTGGTCATATTCTTAATATCGCCAAACAAAACTTACACAGTTTGTATATCGATTGGCATCATCAGATCATTTCTTCTTTCCAAACAATCAGACCCGAATTTCAATCATTATAAAACTTGATTAGATTTGATTGTTTGACAAGAATAATAATTTAGACACTTGAATAGAATAAAAAAAGCCAAGGCTTCAGATTAATCTATAAACTCATAAGCGCCGGTTCTTTTCTAATCAACGGTGATCCTTAATAGTGAAAATCTCATCTAATTTTGTTACAAATCAATTGAACAATTAAAATAATCTTCATAATTTAAGCGGAAAAAGAAGAAGATCCCGGATCCATATCGATTCTTTTTTCGATCTTGGATCAGATCCAAATGTTTTCTTTTCTCCAATTCCGACTTGCTCTCTTTCTATTTGTCTTTCTTTTCTTTTGTTTTCTTTTGTTTCTGTTATTTAATCTCACCAATTGTTACTTTTTAATTGTTACTGATTCTTATTTAAAAGAACCCATAGTATATTTAAATCATATTCTTCAACTGATTAACTTCTCGCTTGTAACATTTATTGCAAGTTAATTGTTGATAGAAATTATTTTCTATTTCTATTTCTCTTTATCATTTTATCTGTTTATTCATTTTCATTTGTTTTTCCTTTTTCTTTCTTTTTTTTTGTTTTCTTTTCTAATTCTTCATCATGGACAATTTACCTGTGAAAAGATATCAAATCAATCAGTTAATTATGGATTATCTAGTTGCTCAAGGATTTAAAGAAGCTGCAGAAAAATTTAAACAAGAAGCAGGTCTGAACATGCAAAGACCTAAAGGATCAGAAAACGATGCTGATTTGGCTGATTTCAATATTCTCTTGGAACAAAGGATTCAAATTAGAGAAGCAATTGAAGATGGTAAAATTAAATATGCTCTGTGTCTAATTAATCAATATTACCCTGAGTTAATTGATCAAAATAGGAGCCTCTATTTCAAACTACAGGTACATAGTTCTCTCTCATTCATTAACGTTGCTTTCTTTTTCCTTTTAAATTTATCATCAACTTCATTTGTCACTTGTTCTGTTGTAGCTTTTTTTCTTACTTCTAACTTGTATTTCTTTTAATTGTGGTTTTTTATTATTCTTTTTAGCAACAACAATTGATCGAACTGATTAGAGAACAGAAAACTGAGGAAGCCTTAACCTTTGCCCAGGAACAGTTGAACGTTGACTCTGAATATCTGGAACTTCATGAACTAGAGCGAACCTTAGCTTTGCTTGCTTTCGATAAACCATTGAGCTCACCATACGCTGATCTACTTCACATAGAACATCGACAACAATTAGCTCTAGAAGTAAATAGTATAATTCTTCAAGAACAATCAGGATCCGCTGATGTCCAACAACCCAAGATAATTACACTTCTTAAACTACTCCATTGGACCCAAAATGAATTAGAGAGAAAGAAACATAAATTCCCAAAGATGATTGATTTCTCTTCTGCAGAAGTTATTGGTGAAATATAGTTTAAACAAACAAAAGAAACAACCAATTCTACTAACAAATTGCAAAAAAAATCAGTCAAAACTCCCAATCATAATCATCCTCCACAACACCAGCAACTTTAATCAACTCACAAATTTAAACCCACTTTTAAAGAAAAGAGCAAAAAAGAAAATAATTAATCCATGAAAACACAAACACCACTAATCATTACCAAAATAAATCCGCCAATCACTTTAAACAAAAACCTCATCAAATTTAAATATCAAACAAACAAAATTGACTAATCACAATAAACAAATTGCGTCAAATTCAAAAACCAAAATTTTCCCTCCTCTTGAAGTTCCTAAAAAAACCAACAGATGTAGTTAGTTAACCGGCAAATCTAATCACCAAATGAACCACTTGACTTAACAATTTGACCCAAAAATCGAGTGAGAAAATTAAAATTAAACACAAATTAACTTGTGGAAAACTCAATCCAACCAATTGAGACAAAATTCGAAAAGAAAAAAATTGAATTGATCGAAAAACTCACGTAAAGAAAAACAAACCGTAAAAGTGAATGAACAAAATCATTCGAAGTATATAAAGAAAACAACGAGAGAATTTGGTTGTCCCGTGTCGGCGGGACATATACTAAAATTGGAACGATACAGAGAAGATTAGCATGGCCCCTGCGCAAGGATGACACGCAAAATCGTGAAGCGTTCCACATTTTTTTTATCGAATTCGACCTGATTGCAAATTCGAAAGATGGTAAACATTTTGGTTCGATTGGATTTTTATTTTGTTTCCGGGACGAAATAAGAGTAAAGAGAAAAAGATTTTCGAATTTGGTAAATGTGTTTCTTGTTCTCTGATTTTGGATTTTTGGGTGAGAAAAAAAAAGATTTCGTTTTGAAAGAGTTGGAAAAAAATACTATAATTATTTTACATTTAACCTTTTTTTATGTTTGTGATAAAGGTTAGATTGTTGTGTGTGTGTATGTGTATGTGATTTATGGTTTTAAATGGGAGCTCCTTTGTTTACTATTTCATTGATACAAATCCAATCACCGGTAAAGGTTTCTTTCCATAGAGTTACTTTATTATCTCCACCGGAAACTGCTAATATATTACCAGCGATTGACCAGGAAACATGCCAGACAACATCTTCAAATTTATCCATAACTTGGACACATTTCCATTCATTTGATTGTCCATCATTTTTCCAGATTAGGACTCTACGATCTTGACCACAACTTGCAATGTAACTTTTACCAATCGATGGAGCCCAAGCAACATCTCGAACCCAATCCATGTGTCCTTCCAATTTAGATTCTTCTTCCCATTTATCCTCGTCATCAATGTATTTCCAAATTTTAATTAAACCATCACAGCTTCCAGTTACAAAGCGTTTAATCATCTGAGTTTTACCAGAACTTGGATCATTTTGAAAGAGAGACATTCCCGGAATAAGAGAGGGACACCAACTGACAGCATTTACTCCCATACCATGAGCATTTGGAATTTTTCTAGTTGACCAAGAATTATCACCTCCACCACCTATGAAATTTAACAGAAAAAAATGCCAATTAGAAAGGTAAAAGAGCAGATAGATTTGCAATTTCGATAGAAAATAAAATGTACCAAAGAGAATCTGAAAAAAAATGTTAACTCAATCCATACCTGAATTAAAGATTAAACTAACAGCTCCATCTGAAGAAGCAGCAGCCAACATTAACCCATATTCTTTAGGTGCCCATTGAACTGAATTAACCGATGATTCGTGTCCACTATACTCGTAAACTTTTTCATACTTATTAGTAGCAGTTTCCTTCCAAATTAAAACTTTCCTATCATATGAACAGGAAGCAAGAATAGAACCATAAGCAGGATGAGCCCATGCCAATTGCCAAACAGGACCCTCATGCCCTCGAAGAACAGCAATTAAATTCTGATTGTTGGCCTCAATCGAAAAAAGCTTAATTGTTCGGTCAGATGAACAAGTGGCCAATTTGGTTCCATAAAAGTCAACAACCGCATCATGGATCATATCCTCATGACCGGTGGCAATTTCTTCCCCAATGGAAACCATATTCAACTGCAACTGGTGATAGATCGAAAATAGAGATCACAATCAATTAACAAAAAAGAAAATAATAATTAAAATCAGTCAACAATTAACAATAAAACATTGAAAACAATCAACAAACGTTTACAATTCAATTTCTCACAATCATCTGTCTCCATCGAGAGTCCTTCTGATTGGCTCATCAAAGAGAAAAAAAGTAAACCCGCCAACTATGAATGAGAGAAGAATAAAAAATTTTCTTTTCTAATGTGTAACATAAACAAAATGGAAAACAATTACATTTAATTCAATTAATGTGATCAATTCTTAATAACTCTTAATTGTCAAACATTTGATTCACCATCCAAACAATTGTAACAATAACACTGGCAGTTTAGCAACTGCTGGTTATGGAACCGCTCTCGGAGTAATTAGAGCTCTTCATGAGGCCGATAAATTGGAAATGGTTTATTTCACCGAGACTCGGCCCTACAATCAAGGAGCTCGATTAACTGCATTTGAATTGGTTAAAGAGAAAATTCCATGTAAACTGATTTGTGACAATATGGTTGCCGCTCTAATGTCAACCCGTAAAATTGACGCTGTTGTTGTTGGTGCTGATCGAGTGGTTCAAAATGGCGACACTGCAAATAAAATTGGAACTTATCAAATCTCTGTAATCTCCAAACATCATAAGGTCCCTTTTTTTATTGCTCTTCCTCTGTCAACCTTTGACCCTATCACGATAAATGGCAAAGAAATACCAGTCGAGGAAAGATCCCAAGATGAGGTCAAAATTATTAACGGTCAATTTGATATAACACCAAGTGAATTTATAACCGGATATATAATTGGGTTGTAATATAAGCATAATCGGTTAAATTGTAAGCTACTAATCCACAAAATTGTTCACAAATTTTGGTTGTTGGTCGAATCCATCTCTTAACTAATAGATAGTAAGTCGTTGGAAAGCTTGATTTTGTCATTGAGTAATTAACTTGACAGCAAATTTTTTCACTGCAGGAGACAATATTGTCTGATTGTTGGGTTAATTTGGTATAATTAAATAAATCAAGTTCCAATGTCCATGGTTTGTAAGGTAAATGATCTGATTCATCAATCTTATTGTGTTCAATTATTTTAACCAATCCAGTTCTTGAATCTATTGATCTATTTTCATGTCTTGATTTGGGTAAATCAGCAATTAACAATTTAGATCCTCCTTTCATTATATCAGCAGTGTAAACAATTGGACCTTTTCCAGCTTGATAGATGCCTGAACCTACGGCACCTAAAGGTAAATCATTGATTCCAGAGGCCAAAAGGTTGACATTTTGTTCAATTGAAAAGCCTGATTGAACTCGATGTGCATTAAGAAAGGGAAGCTCATCAGTCCAATGAGCACCAAATAAAATGGTATCAACCGATTGATTATTAATCAAATTGAAAGCAGGCTGTAAGTAATTAATATCAAAACAAATAAGAAATCCCAATTTACCAAAAGTGGTTGAAACGGTGACCACTTCAGGTTCAACGGGAATGTTATGAATTGGCTCAAAAAATAGATGATACTTATGATACTTAGCAATCAATTTTCCCGTTGAATCAATAAGTATTTGAGTGTTAAATAAATAGTGACCATGATCTGGACAATTTGGATCATTTGAAAGTGAACAATTAACCTTTTCACCCAAAATGGCGGCAACGTAAATCTTGAAACCTCTGGCAAGACAACTTAATGAATGGACACACAGGGAATCAATTGATGATTGGCCATTCCAATCAATACAAGGAGTGATTGATTCATTAGCGTTCGGAATGTATTCATAATTAAGTGAAGCCACGGTACGATTAATGGCACCGAATAGACCAGATTCAGGGAAAACGATTAAATCGGCACCATGATAAGAAGCTACTTGAATCGCTTTTGCATAAGATTTCAAGTTAACCCTTTTGACATTAAATTGATTGATTGATGATTTTTGACTGAATCGGTAATTGATCTAATTTATCTTCATTAATTAACTTTTTCTATCTAACAATTAACATCTACAATCGTTACAATCAGAACACAAATTAAGGTTAATCACTTAGAATTCAGACTTTTTGATTTGATTAACCTTTTAATTGAAACTAATTGTTTCATGTTAATTGTCAATAAGAAAGTCACTTCTAGGTAAAGCCAAGTTAATCAACCTATTGATTGATATAAATTATAATTATTAATCTAATTAGAATGTAATTTACTTTATCTCCTGATTGTTTGATTTTTTATACTTTTGTTTACAAAGTCACAATTTACCTTGAATTAATGATAATGATTAAACATTATGATCTTGTTATTGTAATGATGAAAAATTAAACCATCCAGTGTAAACATCTGATTAATTGTTAGTTAATCACTGGAATAAATCACTTTGGAGCACAACAATTAAAATCAAGGAAAAGGGAAAAATCAACTTAATCACTAGATTGAACAATTGGGTTCTAAATTATTATTGGAAATCCTTAATTTTCCAGTGAGAGAAAATCATTTCAATTAGAATAGGAAGTTGATCATCTTAATTGTATCCGTTATTCAATCTTAATTATAGTTATACCACCGCTTTCATTGACCAATTTAATCACAATTTAGTTGATGTATTTTCTTGAATTGTTATTGATGTTAAACTTTTCCAAATCTATTTCCTTTGGTGTAAAAAACTCCAATAAATCAATTGTGATTTCCAATTAAATTTTTAACTCGAATAGAAGAAAAAATCTGCAACAATTTATATACAAATTCTGTTAATTGTCGATTAATCAAGTCCAAGTAATCAAAATTTTCGACATTCAAGATGAAATTGAGAATCTTTTGAAATGTATATTCACTTTCCAGAAATATCTTCCATGGATACTAAACAATCCGTTGGTTAATTAGTATCAACTAATTTGCTGAGTTAATCACAATCAACAAGATGATATACAAGTCGCCAGACAATTAACACCAGTTGATTAATTAAATCAAACCTTTAAGGTTAATGAAAAAAAGGTAAACAAAAAAAAGGTGAACCTATTAACCAACAACATTTGAGAAAATGAAAAAACCAATTAACTAATCACAGTTAATTAATTTCGTGTCAACTGATTGGAGTCCAATCCATCGGAGGTTCACTATTTAAAAATAGAGAAAATCTTAATTAGAATAAAAAACAATCACAATTAACAAAAGAAATTAACAAACCAATTTACCAATTACGCTCCAAAATCAGGTAACCAAAAAAAAGTTAATTCACTTTCTTTTTCTGTGTCTACATTTTGTTCTCTTTCTTTTTTCTGTGTCGACGAAAAAGAAGCAAAAATGATCATATGTTTTTTTCCCTTTCGGCAAAATTGTGATTTGTTTTGTATTTTTTTCTTGTCTTTTATTTTTGTTTCAATCTTTTCTAATTGTTACCATTTAAATTAACTAATTGGACATTTGTGTTTACTCTTCTATTTGTGTGGTGTTAATGTAACTATGGGACTAGAACAGAATAAAAAGAAAGTAAGAAAAAGGACAATTAAGTTAATCAACTCAACGACAATTTTAGTTGATTAAAAAGAGAAGGAGACAAAAGGTTGGTTTTTTTTTCTATTTTCTTTCAATCATTTATACTCTTTGATGATTTCATTGTGTCCCTATTAACTATTGTTGTCTCTATTCTTAGGTAATGAATTGAATTTAAATTGAATATCTATGGATCGACAAATATTCTGATCAACATGGTGATTAATAATCTATATTGATAAATATATAGACAGAGAATGGGAATGAGACAGAAAGATAGACAGTAAGAGAGAATAGTCAATCTGTTCTCTTGTTTTTTTTTCTATTCTTTTTCATTACTAATTTGTTCTATTCTATTCTGATAATTTGTGGTTGATGACAATTGTATTCTAATCTGTTAATAACCAACAATCAGTTTCCATAGACATTTTATCTTTAACATCTTCGTCGTGTCTTAGCTTGTCTCTTTTTTCACTGACTCTCTCTCTCTCTCTCTCTCTCTCTCATCAAGATTTAGTTCTCAATCAATTGGATTAATTTTGATCTCCTCATCATCCACTCCTCCTTTGGATACTGTTATACTTATCATTACTGTTACAAATACTATTCATTTACCAAAAACATTCACAGGCAACAATTTATGTGAACATCAGGTCACCTTTGATCATCATCAACATAATGTTGAATATCAGTTAACTAATTACCAGCTTACAAAATAACATGTTAATTTAATGATAACCTTAGTGTTTAAATCAAAAACCATCATCATCAATTTTCTTGTACAATCTATTTTTTCGTATTTTATCAACATTGGAATAACTTAATGATTGAAAGTGTTTACAAAATTGTGGTGATTGTTTCCATATTAAGGATTAATTGTACGATTAAGCTTAATGTTTTTTTCCATTTAACTCAATCAAATTATTTTTAACTTTTACTATTAATATTACACTTCACTATTCATTAATGTTAACAATTAACTGTTACTATTATCAACAATCAAACAGATAATCTTACCTTTTATTTTGCATTATCGTTTTTGTTGCACCTCAATTGTGACATTCTTAACCATAATTAAGCTTCATTAGATGAACTCTAACAAGATTGATTAACATTCATTCTTGTGTCAATCATTTCCTATTGTTTCCTCTAGTTTATTAACACAATTCAATTTCCTTTTCCTCTAATGAGTATCGATCAATATTCATTGAAATCTCAGTTCCTATTCTGTATTAACTTATGATTTTCTTTTCTTTTCTCATTTCAATCTTCTAGCCTCTTAATCAATAATAATCACAAGCAATTATCCAACTGGATTTACCAATCATCGACAATGATGTTAAGGATTTTCAGGAAGAGATCTAAATTTCTCTATGTATCTTGGTTAATGGGATTGATTTTTCTAAGTGGATCATTTTATTATTTATTTTTATTCCATGATGTCCAAGAAAAGGATCGATTACAATCTAATTATCGCCTTACCAATGAGATACAAGTTCGACTACATGAATTGGAAGGTGGCCTCAAAGAGAATCGTATTCTTTTGGACGATATTCGTTCTAATATTGAACAAGTTTCCAAATCGCTTCATATGAAATTTTATCGAAATCCAGATCAAAAAATGCTTCTACCATTTAAATATTGTGAAAAAGAATCAGGTAATTTTTTCTCTCAACAATCAATAAATCATTTCTTCTTGAGCACGATTTATATTAATAGTTGTTCATTATACTGATTGTTTTCATACTAAATGATTATCTCTGTTTGTTATTTTTTTATACAGAAGAGGAAAGTAATTACAAGAGCAATTTAAATTTAACCATGGAAAAATTGTATCAATCAAATGACTTTGAAAATACTAATGGTGGTGTTTGGAAACAGGGTTGGGATATTAAGATAAATTCATCTCGTTGGAGTGATGAAAATAAATTGAAAATTTTCGTGGTGCCACATTCACACTGTGATCCTGGTTGGTTAAAAACCTTTGATCAATACCTTCGAGATCATACCCGCCATATATTGAACAATATATTACGTAAATTGGTTGACAATCCAAATCTTTCCTTCATCTGGGCTGAGACAAGTTTCTTTGCCGCTTGGTGGGACACCCTTAAAAGTGAAGATAGTAAGGAAGCAATTAAAACTCTCCTGGACAATGGTCAATTGGAAATCGTCACCGGTGGTTGGGTTATGAATGATGAAGCCAATACACATTATTTTGCAATGATATCGCAAATGGTTGATGGTCATGAATGGTTGAGAAACGTTTTAAATTATAAACCTCGATATGGTTGGGCTATTGATCCTTTTGGACTTTCTCCTACTATGGCTTTTTTATTAAAGAAAATGGGTCTTAAGGGAATGGTCATTCAACGAGTCCACTATTCGGTGAAAAAATATCTTGCTCAGCAAAATTTACTCGAATTTAAATGGAGACAATTCTGGGAAGCGAATAAACCTCCTAAAGATGATATCTTTTGCCATATTGAACCTTTCTATTCTTACGATGTTCCTCATACTTGTGGACCTGATCCTAAGGTTTGCTGTCAATTCGACTTCAAAAGGTTACCACCAAGTCGATTAAATTGTCCATGGAAGGTTCCTCCTCAACGAATAACCGATCAAAATGTTGCCACTCGAGCGACACTTTTAGCTGAACAATATCGAAAAAAGGCAACTTTGTACAGAAAAAATTCTTTACTAGTTCCACTGGGTAAGATTTCGTAAATTTACATAAATTCAATCGACTAATTATTTTCTATTCTATATCTATTTAATTTAGGGGATGATTTTCGTTTTGACAAATTAATTGAATGGGACAATCAAATGAACAATTATCAAAAGTTATTCGATTACATGAACTCACGAAAGGATTGGAATATTGAAGTAAATAATAGAGAGAGAGAAAGATGGATAGAAACAATCGAATCAAATTTCCATTTCTAATTATGTTCCAATTTTTCCTTGAATTTAATAACAGATTAAGTGGGGAACTCTTTCTGATTATTTTGAATCTTTCGACCTCAATGATATGCCCGCTTTGAGTGGTGACTTTTTTACCTACGCTGATCGTGATGACAACTATTGGAGTGGTTATTATACAACTCGACCCTATTTTAAACGTTTAGATCGTATCCTAGAAAGTTACGTTCGAGCAGCTGAGATAATATTTTCAATTGGTTCAATTATATCGGAAATTGATTCGACTGTTAAGTTAAGATTATCAAATGCCTTAAATGTTGCACGAACCAATTTAGCTATTTTCCAACATCATGATGGTATAACAGGTACAGCAAAAGATCCTGTTGTCAATGATTATGGTTTTAGGTGATTAACTTTACTTTTAAATTGAAAGCTCTCATCAATTGGATTTAAACTAATCAAAATTATTTTTCTTCTTCAAATAGGATGATAACCTCTCTTCAAAATTGCCAAGACATAATTAGCACCATGAGCTTTTATCTTTTACATCTTTCTTCAAATGATCAAAATTCTGTGCCATTAACAATGATTGATCTCTTTCCAAATCATAATTTATTATTACCCATAAAAGATGTGATACAATTAACCAAACAATCAACTCGAAGGTAAACAAAAGACTTTTTTTAATTCGTTTCCCAATTGATTTGCTCTAACTTTTTGTTTTCATCTAATTTTTTTTTTCTCGTATCTCATAGACATGTTGTTGTTTACAATTCCCTTGGTATGGAAAGACAAGAGTTAATTTGTCTCTTTGTACCTAAAAATGTGACTAATTGGATAATTCGTGATCACAATGGTAAAATGGTCGAAGAGGTTCAAGTCAATTTAGCCTGGGACTATAAAACTATTCGAGATGATGTAGTTGAAGCTTGTTTCATTGCCGAATTAGGTCCAGTTTCTCTGAACCAATATACTGTTGAAATTAATCCATTAGACACCAACTCTAGTTATCAAATGAGTTCATCTTATTTATTCAATTTTCCTGGTGAATCGACATCTAAATCACCTCCAGCCGCCATGGAATTAGAAATGGAAGGGATCAAATTGATCTTTAACGGAGCTGATGGTATGCTACGTAAAGTGATCTTACATCAAGGTGACTTTTTTAAAACGATTGACCTTAGATTAAAATTTATGACCTACGGTACTCGACCTGGTGGGAAAAAGGTTGAAAAAAGTGGTGCTTACCTTTTCCTACCTGACTCAGCTGAAGCTCAAGACATGGCTTATTCAAAACCTTCCATACGTATAACTGATGGTCCTTTGGTCAGTCGGATGGAGATTATAATTGACAATTCATTAAAATTACAACATACAATCACCTTAACCAGAGGAAAACCTTATTTTGAGATTGAAAATGAATTTCATATGGTCAAGGCAGGAGGTTCTTTTGACAATAAGGAGCTTTTATTAAGATTTTTTTCTGACATTCAAAGTGATAATACATTTTACACTGATTTAAATGGTTTCCAGGTAAATTACTTGACGAAAAACTATTGTTTTACTATTCTAATTAATCTTTTATTAACTTGTTCATTTAGATGGTTAAACGTAAATGGTTTGAAAAACTTCCCGTTCAAGGAAATGTTTATCCAATGGCTAGTCTAATGTACATAGAAGATTCTTGGACTCGATTGAATGTCCTTTCTGCTCAACCCTTAGGGTGACCAGTCAACATGCAGGTTTAATTGATGTCTTTCTGGATCGTCGGTTGGTTCAAGATGATAATCGAGGTGTTGGTCAAGGTATAACTGACCATCGACGGACTCGTGAACGTTTTAGAGTTTCAATTGAAAATCGTGGTCTCAATCCCCTTAAGCCAACGTCTCATGTCCATCAAGAGTTGACCAAATTACTCAATGAACCTTTTCTTATGCAAAGTGGATCTTCCAGTAATCAAGGATCGTTACAATTTATGTCATCACCTTTACCCTGTGATGTTCATCTTCTCAATTTCCGAAGTGATTTAAACACTCAAAATGACTTTTATCTTTTTCTCCATCGTTTTGGTTCTACCTGTGAATCTACCTGTCCATCATCTCATCCATTTACTTTGCTCCCTCATCTTTCAAGGAATATTTTTAATTCAATTCAACCAACAATGTCCACAATGAGTCTCTCATTAAATCAAGTATTACAATCAAATTTAAACATTTCCAGTTATCCAATACAATTGGAACAAATGGATTTTGCTGTTTTATCACTTAAATTAAAATAATTGATCACAAATCCACAATCAATTGTTGTCTGGCACAAATGATGGAAAACTAAATCATCGTCAATGGAAAACAAGGTTAAGATATTATGATGATAATTATCATAATAATTAGCTAATTATTACAATAAATAGTAGAAATTTATACAAGTCTGTGATATATTAAAAAAACGTTAACTCATTTTTTGTTTTAATAAAATCATTTTAAATTATATCAATTATTTACATTTCTGATTCAGATTCTATCGATTATCTTTAATTATCTTAACCAACAGCTACAGAGACAATTAACAATTAAAATGATTAATCAACAACAAATCCCAACATTTTAGAGACATTGACTCTGGAAGGGATATTTTTGACTCAATCCATACCTGAATTAAAGATTAAACTAACAGCTCCATCTGAAGAAGCAGCAGCCAACATTAACCCATATTCTTTAGGTGCCCATTGATCAATTAACAAAAAAGAAAATAATAATTAAAATCAGTCAACAATTAACAATAAAACATTGAAAACAATCAACAAACGTTTACAATTCAATTTCTCACAATCATCTGTCTCCATCGAGAGTCCTTCTGATTGGCTCATCAAAGAGAAAAAAAGTAAACCCGCCAACTATGAATGAGAGAAGAATAAAAAATTTTCTTTTCTAATGTGTAACATAAACAAAATGGAAAACAATTAACATGAAGTTGATTTAAAATCTTTTTCTAATTTCTTACATTTAATTCAATTAATGTGATCAATTTTTAATAAGTTCGGAAGAATTTGATGAATTGACACTTTAAATTTTCTTCTATTCTAATCAAAGTTAAATATTTTCTCTTCCATATTCAGTTGCTGTTCTTATTTACTTTTTGTGATAACATTTTCTCATCTTGTTGATTAATTAGTTTTTTCTGTTCTTGTGATTATATCAAGATATTCACTTAATCTAAAACAAATAGATCACTAATTAGTACTTGATTGAGATTCTTTGTTTCAGTTTAATCGATTGGTTAGTGAAATTGAACCATTTTTTGGATTGTCAAACATTTTCTTCACCATCCAAACAATTGTACTTGTTATTTGATGACCAATATGAACAGTATCATTTATACTCGTGATAAATTAAAGATTCTTGACCAAAGGAAATTACCCTTAATCGAGATATATGTTGATATTAATTGTGTTGAAGATGGTTTCAATGCAATTAAAGACATGCTGGTTCGAGGTGCTCCTTGTATTGCTATGGTTGGGATTTTGTCTATAGCTGTTGAATTAACTGATCCAGAGAAATTGATCAACCAGGGTAAATTGTCTGGATTAACTGTTGATGGTTTACAAAGATATTTGAATAAAACATGCCAATTACTGTGTGAAGCTCGACCAACAGCAATTAACCTTCGAAATGAATGTGAAAAATTGCGACAATTTGTTAGCGACATGTCCAAAAATCCTAATGTTACTATTGAAAATTTGATTGGTAAAATTGGCGATTACAGTGCAGACCTTTTGAACGAGGATATTAGAGTTAATCGATCTATTGGTAAATTTGGTGCTGATCATTTCATCGCTAATTTGATGACTGATGATTATAAACTAAAGGTCCTAACCCATTGTAACACTGGCAGTTTAGCAACTGCTGGTTATGGAACTGCTCTCGGAGTAATTAGAGCTCTTCATGAGGCCGATAAATTGGAAATGGTTTATTTCACCGAGACTCGGCCCTACAATCAAGGAGCTCGATTAACTGCATTTGAATTGGTTAAAGAGAAAATTCCATGTAAACTGATTTGTGACAATATGGTTGCCGCTCTAATGTCAACCCGTAAAATTGACGCTGTTGTTGTTGGTGCTGATCGAGTGGTTCAAAATGGCGACACTGCAAATAAAATTGGAACTTATCAAATCTCTGTAATCTCCAAACATCATAAGGTCCCTTTTTTTATTGCTCTTCCTCTGTCAACCTTTGACCCTATCACGATAAATGGCAAAGAAATACCAGTCGAGGAAAGATCCCAAGATGAGGTCAAAATGATTAACGGTCAATTTATCGCTCCACCTGAAGTCTCCTGTTGGAATCCGTCATTTGATATAACACCAAGTGAATTTATAACCGGATATATAACAGAAAATGGTGTTTTCAACGCTTCCGAGTTAGCGAAACACTACAAATCCATTTACACCAAATAACTAAACAAAAGCTATTAAATTAACTGAATTAAATTTAATCCTAATCAAAGAAATAGTAAAAAATAAACCGCCCCCTTTGATGGATACAAACTATTCTCTTACTTTAACCAACAATTAAGTGAGAAGATTCAATTTCACATTCATTAGAATTTACTGATTAACTACATTTTTATTGTATATTTCCCTCTTTCTATCAACAATCAAATTTCAATTTTGAATTTAATCTTCTTTTTCTCTGTAAATTTCCACAATTAGGACGAAATTAACGCAAATCTTATTTAGTAATTCACCAATCAAAAGAAAATTAATCCTCCATCACAATCAATAATCTCCACTCATTACAGTTCTCACAACCAATGGAAAACATTTCAATTCGTTAGCAAGAGTTGATTGTTTTCTTTAATTGTGTATTAAATTAGTTAAATTTAATCTCGTTTTGTTGTTGGTTACTTTGTAAACCATCAAGTTACCTGTTTGTTGCTATCCTATGGGTGGGTCCAAGTAACAAGTTACCTGACCATTTATTTGGAAAAGAAAAACAATTTTATTTACCTGATTGTTTCTCTTAATTTTTACCTAATTAATTGTCCATTTTTCTACTTGATTGTTAATTGGAGAAGAAACAATTGTCTAGATAATTATGTCGAATTGGTTAATATTAGTTTTCGTTAATTTATTAGGTAAGTCAATTTGTTTTCTTTTCTATTTTCAAATTGTTTCTTTTTTATTCCTTCCACCAACTTGGTTACCTTTATGTTCACCTGGAGCTTTTTTTAAAATGTTTTCCTTTGTTTTCTTCTTTATTCTAAATGATTAGTTGATTGATTTACTAATTGATTTTTTCTCTATTCAATTTAGTTTCCTTTCAATTTACCTTCGGACAATATGATTACTATGGTTCAAACGGTAGGCCCACTTGTAATATACCGTCACAATTACAAGGTGAATGGTATTCACGGGAAAAAGGATTGGACATCACAACTACTGTATCAGAAACTGAGATAATTAAGGTTAGTAAATTGGTGAATTATCAGTTAATTGATTCAATTGTCGAATGAATTTACATTGTTGACAATCAATTGTTAATAATCTTCTGTTCCGTTGAGTGTTTCAGTTTATTTTAATCCGAAATTTTGTCCTCTTCTTGATGTTTTTGTTTCTCTTTTCAACTTGAGTGTTAAATATTAACAATCAATCAATGTTATTAGTTGATTGATTACTATTGTTTATTACTGATTAGAAGCTAAATCAACTGTTGTAATGTTAATTGTTTCTTATAAACAGGGTTCCAGTTCCGATTATGGTTCTTGTGTCAATATGGTTCAACATGGAAATGATAATTATACTTTTCATTTGCGCTCCACTAAAACGTAAGCTTTTAATTTCAGTTCTAATCAAAGGCTGATTAACAATGTTGATTGTTTAATTTTGTTGTAATTAGTAGTTAATTTTCAACAAACAAAAAGGTAGCATGAAAAAGATACAATTTAACTAAATTCTGATGTTTGTGTAGTTTGGCAGATCCACAAACCTCAGTGGTTATCATTTGGCAAATGATCTTGATTTATGATCAATTAATTTTTAGCTTTTCTCATCAAAATTACAACCAAATTGTATATAAATATATTCTCTTAATTGCTCAAATTAATTGTCTCTTTTCTCCCAAACAGTAACTGTCATTATTGTGTCAGGATTCTCATTCGAACACTAAATGTTTTGGAAAAAATTGATGGTAAATTTTCTTGGCATACGAACTTGTGGCTTTTTCCTAATTCGAATACTATTAATTGAATAGTTAATTATGTAATTTTCCTTCTAATTGTTGATATTTTATTTCCTATTAATTAGGTGGCTGTGTCAGTTTAAGTCAAGGAGTAAGAGCATCACTTGGTGAAGTTTGTAGAAGTGCTGATTTAAACGCTGAATTAATTACGATGTTTTGTAAGTTGATTCATTTATTAGGCATGAGAGTCTCGTTTATCTAATTAACTTTATCAAATTTCTTTTGTTAATTAGCCACAAATCCACAGGGAAGAAATTGTAAATCAAGTCTCGAAGGAGTTTGGTCATTTGGTTATCGTTTGTCCCACGTTTCCGCTAGTGAATGTTACGATAGCGAATCTCAAATCAAAGCTTGTCAAAAACCCGGTAATCAATTTTCAATTGTAAATCAACAATTTACAATGATTTACAAATCATGCGGCTCCAATGGTGAAAATAAAGAGATTCAATATAAATGTCTTGGCGATTGGTATGTTGGTAAAAACCATTACTTTGCTGTGGTCAATTCAAGGGATTCTCGTAGATCTGAGTCTTATCGTTGTTTCTTGACCAATCGAGACGATCCAACTCACATCGCCGTTTCAACTACTGCCGAGTGTAACACTTTGACCTCACCCCAACAAGGACCTGAAAGGTTAACTCTTCATCCATCCAAGGCTGAAACTGTTGTTCCCGCTTGTCAACTTCCAGACGCAATGAGAGGTGAATGGATTAACACCGCTAATCTTGACGCTCTTGTCAAGATTAACTCAACTCATATGGAGGAACGTTGGAGACCCGATACAGGAACCGAAAAGGAAGAGATTTATGTTTGTCAACAACGAAAAGGTTCTCGGTACGTTATGGCTCGACTGGGAATCAATGGCTGTCAGAAGGATTTTGTTTGCTTCGATTTTGTCGCTCCTCATCATAATATTATTCGTTATCGTAAGGGTCAAGCAATGAGCTCAGATCAATTTGGTACTATTTGTGCCTGGACAAATTTCGATGCCAATGAAGAATGGAAATATGAGATTCTATTGGCAGCTAAACCAGTGGCTATTAAATGTCCAGTCGCTGGTAAATTTAAATTCAACCAAAAGGGAGAGATACCTTTTGCCACTCGAATCCGTGGTGGAGTAACTCAATCACCTCGGAATAATGTTAAATGTAAACAGATCATTTCTGATCTTTCTATTTGCGATCCTGATCAGAAAATAATGGAAATCGATGCTGAATATTGTATTTCAGTTGATCATCGGGGAACTTCAATTGATTATCAAAGTGATCCTGATCATCGGATGAAATGTATCGGCTTTTGGAAGGAAGATCTCAAATCCTATCTAATTACTTACGATGAGATGGATGCATATAGTAGATACCGTTGTTGGGTCTACCAAAGAAGTGACCTTAATCGAGTACTAATGTCAATGTCCGTCGGAGCCTTTTGCCATAGTAAACAGAGAGTTTCCTCTTGGAATTCATCAGAAGGAGCTCAAGTTGCTCTTGATATGGTTGAATATGAACGAGAACGTAAGTATTATTATTATTATTATTAGCAAAATTAACTATCATTTCAAACTAATTAAACTTTTGTTTCTCTCAAATTTTGATTTCTTATAAAGACGATGAATGTCCAATGTATTTCGATGATGGTTCAAATCCATATTCAACTGACAAAGACAGTGCCATCATTTTGGATGCCAGAACCAGTGGATCAACAAAACTGCGATCAAACTTAATTGTGACAATCATAATTGTACCGATTCTCATAAAAGCAGCAATATTTTGAAAGAATTTTTTGCATGAATCTCATCGTTTCTTAAATAATCAACTAACACAAACTTCCACTTGATAGCAATTAACATGATAATTTATTAATATAATTTGTGGTCTTATCACATAATCATCTTTCCTCCTTTTCATTTTGTTTTCCCATCTCATTAAATTAACCATTTCCATCATCAATAATCCCAAACTTATCGTAATTTCAATGTTCCCTTTTCAAAATGTACACAAATGGAAAGAAATTAATTCTCCCTCTCCATCTATTATTAACATTTACCTGTGTTGAGGTAAATTCATCATCAATGATAACCTACAAGGAAGAGAAAAGGGGATCCAATGAAAGGGAAGTAAAGAGTTCATGGAACTTGGAAGAGGAAAAAAAAATATATCCATGGAGATTTCGATTGATCATCACCAATGTTAATATAAGAGTCGCTTCTAGGTCAATCTTCACCTTCCCACACGTTTAATGATGAAGAGGGAGTTGAACTCCAAGATGAATTGAAAATCTCTCTTCCTACAATTACTTTTATCGATCAAAATGACAGAGAGAGAAAAAGAAAATCAATCAAATGTTTTTTCTTCTTCTCAATATTGGAAATACAAATTGATGAATTAAAAATTCATACTTTTTGTAAAGTCTTTTCTCTTCAAAAGATTTTACAATAAGAATTATCATCAACGAGCAATCAAAACAATTCAATAGATTTAATTTATCTATTGAATTACCTTTGATCATGATTAAGTCTGTTTGCAATTAATTAGCTTACATGGTTGATATAAATGTATTATTAGAATGTTAAATTACAAATGTAACAATTTAAAACCATTTAATGGGAAATTTTTTTAGTAAATCAAAGGTTTAAATTTTGATTACTAATTGTTGATCGGTTGATCATCTTTTTCACAGCGACTGTACAATGTTACTCCAAGTAAGGGTTGATCGTTATTATCTAGATTAATTGTTGCAACATTGTCTTTGTGAATGTAAGTCCAAGTTGATTTTGAGATTAATTGAAAATTATTGGTCACTACACTTGGGATAATTTGATTGCTTGTAAAGTTACCAGTTAATTGTAAGTGATTAAACAATTGAGTTGTAATATAAGCATAATCGGTTAAATTGTAAGCTACTAATCCACAAAATTGTTCACAAATTTTGGTTGTTGGTCGAATCCATCTCTTAACTAATAGATAGTAAGTCATTGGAAAGCTTGATTTTGTCATTGAGTAATTAACTTGACAGCAAATTTTTTCACTGCAGGAGACAATATTGTCTGATTGTTGGGTTAATTTGGTATAATTAAATAAATCAAGTTCCAATGTCCATGGTTTGTAAGGTAAATGATCTGATTCATCAATCTTATTGTGTTCAATTATTTTAACCAATCCAGTTCTTGAATCTATTGATCTATTTTCATGTCTTGATTTGGGTAAATCAGCAATTAACAATTTAGATCCTCCTTTCATTATATCAGCAGTGTAAACAATTGGACCTTTCCCAGCCTGATAGATGCCTGAACCTACGGCACCTAAAGGTAAATCATTGATTCCAGAGGCCAAAAGGTTGACATTTTGTTCAATTGAAAAGCCTGATTGAACTCGATGTGCATTAAGAAAGGGAAGCTCATCAGTCCAATGAGCACCAAATAAAATGGTATCAACCGATTGATTATTAATCAAATTGAAAGCAGGCTGTAAGTAATTAATATCAAAACAAATAAGAAATCCTAATTTACCAAAAGGGGTTGAAACGGTGACCACTTCAGGTTCAACGGGAATGTTATGAATTGGCTCAAAAAATAGATGATACTTATGATACTTAGCAATCAATTTTCCCGTTGAATCAATAAGTATTTGAGTGTTAAATAAATAATGACCATGATCTGGACAATTTGGATCATTTGAAAGTGAACAATTAACCTTTTCACCCAAAATGGCGGCAACGTAAATCTTGAAACCTCTGGCAAGACAACTTAATGAATGGACACACAGGGAATCAATTGATGATTGGCCATTCCAATCAATACAAGGAGTGATTGATTCATTAGCGTTCGGAATGTATTCATAATTAAGTGAAGCCACGGTACGATTAATGGCACCGAATAGACCAGATTCAGGGAAAACGATTAAATCGGCACCATGATAAGAAGCTACTTGAATCGCTTTTGCATAAGATTTCAAGTTAACCCTTTTGACATTAAATTGATTGATTGATGATTTTTGACTGAATCGTTGATATTCATAAACAGCAGCACGAAATGTTGGTGAATCAAATGATTGATCATTACGTTGATTAGATGGAAATCCAATGAGAAACCAAAAGGTGATGATTACTGGAATAAAAAGAAAACGAATCATAATCAAATCTAAATTAAATTACTATATTAAATTAAAATTGTTAAAATATGGATTCAAATGTTAATAGAATTGATTAACTCGTAAATAATTAGTTAATCAACAATCAAAGATCCAAATGATCTAATTATTAAACAGTTACATTGATAATTACCTCAAGGTTTTCATATAAAAATCTATCAAATGATAAAATATTAATTTGATTCTATTGTGATGTAAGATTCAAAGGTTACAGTAATCAGAGGAAAAATTAATCGTCTCTTGTTGGTGTGATTCTTGTTTTGATTGTTGACAATTAGAGTCAAATTGAAATGTGCCTTCGGGAAGTTTAGTTTTCTCATTACTGATCAACAGATTAAACGTCAACTACCTTTGTAAATTAGTCCAGAAATGAGTCCATTCGTTAGATTTAAGATCATCAACCATGAAAAGTACATATGCTTGAGATGAGAAATTAATTGAGACTAAATTGTTTCCCAAAGGAAGAAGAATTGGAGAAGAAAAATGGATTAGTGACCTTCTTTTGTTCTTCATGCTCAAACATAATAGAATTTTGCGAGCAAACATCAGGGTGATTGTATTTTCCCTGCTAATGGAATGAATGAGATAAACAATCAGATGAACAACAACCGACAACAACAAGGTTACCTTTCAATTAGTAACGTGGAAGAAAATATTTCATTAAAACTTACAGAGGGGAGAGAACAAAAAAGGAGATGATGATGATGATGATTATGATATCGAGAATGATGACGAAAGTGAACAACAACAAGAAAAAGATGTGAAGATGATGACGATGATGATTATGATGAAGGAAGAAGAAAAAAAATCTTCTAATGAAAGCCAAGTCATTTCTCTATAAAAAGAGAAAAAATCAGGTCAATCCAAGGTTGTTGACATTGTTATCCAATGGAGTCATATCACGTCTCTATGCAAGAGAGATTATTGTATTGACGTTCCTTTCTCTCTATCATTTTCTTGATTATCCTTGATCATTTACGAGCAGACTCTGTAAATTAAACTTAGTTAACCTCTAGAAAAATAATATGAGCTAAATTAACAACAATTTAACAACTAACATGGATGATGAACCAAAATTAAATACACACACATATTAATAACATAAACGCTTCCGTGTTTCATATCACCAACTAATCACTAAAATCAGAGGAAAAAAAGAGAAACAATTAACTCACCAATTGATGGTTAAAATGATAGAATAAATAAAATTACCTTTGATTAGATGAATGTCAATTAGCAAAAGAAAACAATTAACAAATCACAAAGAGAAATCAAATCAAAATAAAAGAGAAAATTTTTTTTTCTAATTGAAAAATATGTTAACTATTATGTCGCCATCTTGCCAAATATTTTCTAACCTTTTCCAATTCAAGGACAGAATAATTTTTACTTTCTAATTGTGATTATTAATTAATTAATTGTCTTTCATCTCTTTTTTTTTGTCAATTATCGAAAGGTAATTTAGTTGGTGAGTTAATTGTGAAGAAGGAAAGAAATTGAAAAGGTTGTTTACCCGAATTAATTTGTTTCTTTCTTTCCAATTTTCTAATTTCAATTTTTCACTTTTAACATTTTTGTTTTCTTTTACTTTTGCTAAGCCTAATGTTTTTTTCCCTCCTCTTTGTTAATCCATAGGTTGTGAGTTAATTCCTGAATTTTGGGTGATGATCATGATGATTACAAAGTTATTTGGATACATAGATGGTAAGAGTGACTTGTAAACATAGACAAATATACTAAATGTTGCTGGTGAAAATGTAGGTTACTAAAAAAATTACCTCACCCGTTGGGTGTCTTTTAACCTTGAGTTAAATGACCTCTTCATATCTTCCCTTTCTCCCTTTTCTATCATCATCATAATCATTTCAGTGTTTATTATCATCTTCTCCCTCTTCTTCCTCTTTTTTTTCATCATCTATTGAGTCTATGATGAGGCTCACTTTGGAAAGAAAATGTAAGAGAAAATGAGGTCAACATTCATGTGCTTTATTCCAACTTTCTATTCTTGACTCATCTTCTTTTCCTTTCCTTTCCTTTCTTTTTTTTTCGTTTAATATTCACGTTATCATGATTTTCTATTAAATATATTTTTCTATCTCCATAGGAAGAGAATTCAATTGGATACACTTATTCCCTCTTTCTCTCTCATGATCATTATCAACAACGAAACACTAAGGAAGTCAAAGGAATCAATTATTATCAATGGAATCAACCTTGTCAACTTCATTTTTTTCTCTCTCTCTCTCTCTGTTCCAACTGACAAAACCCACTCGCTGAATTAGAGTTGTAACTCTAAATCATATGAGAGAGTGAGAGAAATAGGAAAATAAATACAAGCTCAAGAGTATGTGTTTATTGCAAAACAATTTGTATCATAAGCAAATAAACAAACAATCATCAGGTATATAATTTAATGAACAAACAACAATACATAAAGTTTATTAGATAATATCTATTGCTATGATACACTTTGATGATTTCCTGATGATTTAAGATTGTTTATCTAATAACAATTACAACTAACACTCTCATTTACCCTTACTAACCATCATACGAAACAATTTACACAATCATCTTCCTCCAATAACCAATTAAATTGATTAGAATTCAATTACATAACAACAATTAACATTACAAATGTAAATACACAAAAGGATAAATAATCAATTTCCACTTTTTCTAATTAGATAATTGTTAACAAGATAGAAAAAAAAAGAAGAAGAAAAATTACCTTCCCTTACTAACCTTTTAATTAAAACACTTAATTATTATAGAAAAAGAAGATAAATAATCTTAAATCATTTTCCATTTCTAAAACAATTAACTTAATCATCATTTTTGTCTTTGGCGCTTTCAAATTATCTTAACCGTTTCTTTGTTACTTTTTCAATGAGACAAAACAATTAATCCTTTGATTACTTTTCCCTTTACTTTTTAGCTAATCAATTGCAAGAGTTTTTACCTTTCTAATTACATTGAGTAGTTAATTGGTCTCCTATTGGTCTCAAGTTAATTTTGGATTACAATCAATGTCTCTCTCTCTAATCATCGTCACAACAATTATCACTTTCAACCATCACAAAAGTCAATAAGCTGTGAAAACCTTTGGTATTTATCATTTTCTCTGACCCTAAGGTTTGTTGGCTTTTCCTTTTGTTTACATATTCTTTTTTTCTGGTTATTTTCTGGTAATTTCTGGTTTCTTTTTTTTCTAATTTTACAGATTATTCCATTCTCTATGTGAGTGTATTCTTAACTCAGAGAAAAAGAGAGAGAGAGAGAGAGAGCAACCATGAGAGTTTATTAGAGGTCTTTAACCTTGCAACCGGTATATGGAAAAATCAATATTACACTTGCAATTTATGACAATATCTCCATATTATTTTTATCTTTTTCTTTTGTTTTTTTATAATATATACTAGAGTTTATCTCGATATGTAGATCCTTTACCAGGATAAACAATATTTGACGATCAATAATCTGTCTAAGCTCTTCCTACATGACCGAAGATAAGATGACTTGGAGATCACTTTTTGTTCGAGGAATATGGTGAACTTAGAAGACGATGATAACTATTGCTCTTCCATTTTGATTAATCTTACGACTTTTCCCTCTTCTTTTTGATTGCATTGGTCTTACCCTCTCTCTGGACATTGGAATTTTGGTTGATAAATCAGTTGGCAACAAAAGGTGATTGGGTAATTTGATTACATGAAGTGATGATGGTTGGAAAATGCTGATGATTCTGGTGATTTGTTACACTGTAAATCTTTTTGCAATTTAACAGTATGTTGTTCCCTTTGGTTTTTTTTTCCAGAGCAACATTGAGAATCGGTGATAACTTAAACTTACTGCCAAAGGAGAAGAAAATTTTTTAGATGAATTAACACAATTTTCCAACGAATCTGCGTATTCTTCACAGCCATAAGCAAGTTTAACCTTTCTCACCATTTTCTCAGTTTATTGTTACCTAAATTCAGTTCGATGAACCAAAGATGGCGTAAATACTTTGAGAGGTTTGATAACGTTAGAGAAGAGACTATTTCTCTTCCCAATGACCTGACCTTCTACTTTATCCTTTGTCTTCAACCTCTTTTCTCTCTCTTTACTTTATATGTTTCTCATTCTCACCCTTTGCTCACTTTTTCTCTTCTCTAGCAAAAGTCGTCATTTTCCTTTGGAAAAAAGCTATTACACATTAGAAAGAAAGAAAGAGAGAAACATTCCCATGTAAGGCCAAGTTCATCTTCTTTCTTTTTTTCTATACTTTCTCTGTTTCCTTTATAGTGAAGTTCATTGGCTCAATCATCCTCATCTTCTCTCTCTTTTTACTCTTTGGTTATTACTCATTCTCTACCTGTGACCTTTGGAAACAATTCTCTTGTACATAAAGACTACAGTTCCTGGTTCATACATAATTCAAATTTCTCAACTTTTATGATCATCACCAATGTCTACGTGATGATTTGCGATGTATTATGATGGATGATTACGAGTCTAATCCCTGGATTAAAATTGCAAAAGCCCAAAAATCATCATTCGTCTCTAAAAATGAACTTGCCTGATCATCTCTCTTCCTCCCTCTCTCTCTCTCTCACACACACACTCACTTCTTTTACTCTGAATTTCCATTCATTTTCATTCCCCATTTTCAAGTTAAATATATTGACTTTCTCATTCGTAGTCGGATTTCATGTTCTCGTTGCGATGAATTTCTATTTTCTTTTCGGGAGCCTCAGGAGCTCTCAGGTTTCTCTTCCGTGTTCATATCTCTACCCTCTCACTATTCTTCATTCTCTCTCTCTCTCTCTCTCTCTCTTCATGTTCCTCCCCCTCTTTCTCATTGACTCTCATCATGATTTCAACGGTAGTTTTCATTTTCTAAAAGTCTTTTCTGTTCTTGAACCAGGTCATCCATCCTTTTGGTTTCTTTTTAATCCAACAACAAACCTCCTTCAACATTATCTTTTCGTCCTCCATCATCATCATCATCATCATTATCCCCCCGTCTGTTTAAAAATATTGTTAACATTTACTTTTCTCTTTAATTTCTTGTCTCTTTTTTTTTACTCTCTTTCTGATTATATTTAGATACTCACTCGACGAGATGCATCATGAAACCGTGAAACCAATTCGGAAGTTGTTTACTTTCAACTCGAAAACAACAACAACAACAATCATTTATTATATTCGGTTGGAAGTCAGGTCAATTTGGTAAACACTTTCTCTCCCGTTTAATTTTAACGTTACAGGGAAGATTATGATTACGCTGTTGAAGAGACCGCGAAAATATAATTTTCTGATTCAATATTATCTCGAGTCAATCAACTTTTAAAGTTATATTTAAATTTATCTTCAAATTAGCTTAATGATTATCCGGTTGTTCAATTGGAGACAATTACAATTTACTTGTTATCATTGACTCTTTATTGTAAAGTTTGACTTGAGATTAATTTTAACAAGATTGTTTTTCTGTTGATTTTTCCTCTTCCCTCTGTTAATTGTTGATCAGATTAACTAAGTTAAAATTAACCTTGTTAATTTATCAATTGTTTGGTGGTTTTTGTTTGTTAGATTATTTTTGAACACAAAAAAAAACCTTGAAAAAGGTTAATAACCTTATGATGATCAAGTGAAAGTGATGAACAAATAATGACAACAATCAATACTGATAATTGATTTAATCATTTCCGCAATTAGATTGGATTAACTGTAAATAATTTAATTAGTAGAAACAAAGTGATTTAAACGAATCAATTTAAAAGGTAATAACGATAATCTGACTAATTGTAACATTGAACATTAATCATCTTTTATTTAGATGATTATGTTGATTATTTGTAAGATAATCATGGAAATTGGGAAATTACGGAAATCGATTTGAATGAAACTCTAATCAGAACAGAAAATAGGCTAAAGTTCAATGTCTTTTCCTCGAACTGCAATTAGTCAGCGAGAAAGAGAAACATGATGATGATTATCATGAAAAATTCATCTGAATGTATTATGAATGAAACGCCAACACAGTTAATAGAAAAAAAGTTAATCATGTAACTGAATTTAAATGGAATTAATTTTTTTGTTCATTTTCTTTTTCACAATCTAGTTCCTGTTCTTATGTACATTAGATGTCAACATGAGTAATATATTGGCGGTCATTTTCCTTTCCAAGTCCAGTTTCCGTTTCAAGAGGACAAAAACAAGGACTTTGTTTACTTCCGCTCGATACCGTTCACCATAGGGAATCACGCGACATGAGCACATACAGAGGGAGAAAGAGACAAGCAAGAGACAAGAGGGTGAGGTGAGGGTGGTAAAGGAGACGAAATCTATCATCTTAAGATCACGAAATCTTTGACCTCTCTTTCTCTCTCATCCACAAACAACAACAACGAAGAGGAAAAAATTCCCAGTGAAATAAATATACTTCAGGATTGTTTTCTTTTTCCACTCTCTTCCATATTTTCATCTGCCTCTCTCTCTCTTTCTCCCACTCACTTCTTGGGTGAGGGTGGACCAGGTTTCCTTTATCCTTCTTCCCTCTCATCTTGAATACATAACCTTGGGTCGAAAGGTCATTCAAAGGAATATCTAATTGACTGTGATATCTTTTTTCTGTTACGCGTGATTATTCAATGTTTTTTTCTTCTCTTTCTTTTCATCCTTTTCTTTCTTTTTCTTTCTCTCTCACTTACTTTCTTCTTATGTTAGAGAGAGAGAGAGAGAGAGAGAGAGAGAGAGAGAGAGAGAGAGAGAGAGAGAGAGAGAGAGAGACTCACATTTCCTGTAAAAAATCTAACATTTAAGTCTAAAGATCGTAACCCCGAGAGCAAATATTCACATAGAATAGAAAAGATTTCATTTTTTTGTTGATTCGCCAATGAACAGGTCGATATTTTTTGACCTTCTTTCTTCCTTCCTTTCCGTACCCTTTTGCCCAGGTCACTTTTCTCTATGTTAATATGTCCCTCGTTGACTCTTTCTATTTCTCTCTCTTTGTTATCATCCTCCTCTCATCATATCGTTTTGGACGCTATTTAGTGACAATAGTTGTACACAGATAGGAGCCAATGTTTGTCTCTCCCTCGAAAATTTTACCTTATTTTTTATTCTTTGCCGTTTATTTATCGGCTCTTAACCCAATATGTTTATTATCATCACTCTCGTCATCCTTATCATCATCCCTCTAACTCCTTTTATCCTACTCCCAACCCAGAAAACCTTACCCTTCCTACGTTTCTTTCTCTCTCTCTCATATTCTTAGGCCTTTTTTACGCCCAATATCACCCAATATTAGGCTTCTCCCTTTTTATTTTCTTCTTTCTTTTCATTCTTTTCTTTTCGAACTTTTTCTATCTGTGTTTTCCGCGCCTTTTTATCCTTTCATTTCTCTCCCTCATCTTCACAATCTTTCATCTTCTCATTCATATTTGTCTTTTCTTCTTTCATTTTCTTTTCTTTTTCTCAATAGATTTCACTTTAAAAATTTACACAGATGATGGAGAAAGAGGATAGATGATAATGATGATCAAGGATGAAGAGAGGAAACTCTAGGTTGTGGCTGAAGATGATAAAGAATCAATTCCAAAGGTCAATGATTTCACTGGAATAAATCGATTGGTGAACAAGGAAGAAGAGAGAGAGAGAGAGAGAGAGAGAGAGAGAGAGAGAGAGAGAGAGAGAGAGAGAGAGAGAGAGAGAGAGAGAGAGAGAGAGAGAGAGAGAGAGAGAGAGAGAGACATGAAACTGACAGACTCATAGAACAAGAAAGATAAAAATTTCGAACTTGATTCTTGATAAATTTCTCTTTCTTTTTTTCTTTCTAATTTTCCAATATATTCTTATCTCTTATGATAATCATCTCTCTATCATTTCGTAGCTACGAATAATCTTGTTCCAAAGACGCATGATCCATTCATCGACTTATCCTCCTTCTCTCTCTCTCTCTTTCTCCTTGAACGATCGATAGGTCAGCAAACGAGCTTTGAGGTCATAGACATTTGCAAGTCAAGGTCACAAGGCCAATTACAGGCTTTGGTTTATAACCAAGGACTCACGGCAAGGATAAGGAAGAGATTGAACCATAGAGTAAAAACCAGAGGATGATAATGATGATGAAGATGAAGATTCCAATGCAACCATTTATTGTTATTCCTCTTTAAACTTCTCCATCTTCTCCCTCTCCTCTCTCTCTCTCTCACTCGCATCTCTTCAAGGTGAAAATTTTCCAAAGGCCAAGTTAACCCAAAACTCCCTCAGGTTAAACATTCTCATGATCCATTGCAAGGTAACCACCGAGGCCGACGACCTTTTTTATTTTCATTTTCCTAGAAAAGAAAATATTTTCTTATCTTCTCTTTTCCATCATCATCATCATCATCTCTATGTAATTATGTTTTTTGTTTTCTCTTTGCAATTGCTTCTCATCCTCATCCCTCCCGGTTTACAACTAAAGATCAAGGATAAAGTTCAAAAAGAGAATAGAAAATTTTTATATCAACTATTAAGATGATGGATGATGATGATTAGTTAATTTTCAAGAGACAATTTAACCCGTACAATTATGGACCTAAAATTAATCCATTAATTGGCTTGATCGTTGAATAAAAATTCAGGTCATCTCTCACTAGAAATGTCAATCTATCAATTGAATTATATTAATAGCTTTTATCTTATCAAAGCCAAAGTAATCAATTGCTAATTAATAAGGATAAAAGTTGATTTGGTTAATTAATAGATGATTAAATTGATAACCAATATAATGTTAAAATTGAAGATTACAAAACAAAGGGTAATGAAAGATTCAGATATTAATTAATGAAGAAATTGAGTAAAAATCTAGATTGTGATTAAGTCTAATGTTTATATTGAGAGTTAACTAGGTCATCATTATCTTTAAGACTCTATGGGTTAATTGTAATCTGCTTGACACTAATACAGGTTAATGTGATAATTATGATTAAAAGAAATTAACTTTAATCATGTTAAATGATTTTATCGAAAAATATTAAATCATATTAACGTTTTTCGTATTGAATAGAAAGGTAATCAAAAGGTAAGAGACCCTTGAAAATATTGAACAATAAGATCAGGTAAAGGGTTTGACATAACCAGGAAGAGAAAGAGACAGACAAAGAGATGATGAGGATGAGGATGATGAAGATGAAGATGAAGATGGAGGTGAAGGAGAAATATAAATTCTAGACAAAGCTACATCTTCATGGGAATAGGATCGGTCGCCTTTGTTACTTTCTTAAAGACCTTCAGTTAACATCTTCCTCCCTCTTCATCTCTCTCTCTCTCTCTTCCTCCACCCCTATCATCCTTATCTCTCTCTCTCTCTCTCTCTCTCTCTCTCTCTCTCTCTCTCTCTTATTCTTGTTTATGTTTTTTTCTCTGTCTTCATCTTCCAAAGGTCAAAGTACTTTGAACATAAACATGAGGCTTTTTTACACCATAGAGACAGAGGAAGGCGCGAGTTGAATGGAGGATAAGTTTCAAGATTTTGTTTTCATCATCCTTATCTTCATCTTCATCTTCCTCTCCCACTCTTCTCGTATCTTTGTAAACATCTTTGATTGACCCTGAGTTGATATTCCTTTGTCTCTGAAGATTTTTTTTCTCTCAAAGTAACTACAATGTAAATTGTTTCTTTCCTTTGATATTACCTTTTTTTGGTTAATTTTCTTTTTTAAGGTAAACAGGAAAAGAAATGATGATGATGAGAGAGAGAGAGGTAAGATGAGAAGACGAGGAAGAGAAGATGATTAGTATTATTACAATGATGATTGACCTCGAAATCTCTAGCTGGTTGAATGAACTCCTAGAGAAATAGGCAACGAATTACCTGATTATTATTTGAATTTATCAACCAAAGAAAAAGAGGAGATAATCATAGAAATACAATTAACTGTGTTAACAATTAAGTTAAATTACCTGGAGAATAAAAATCTCATTCTAAGAAATAGAAGGAAAAAAAAAGAAGATTAAAAATGATCTTCCATAGAGATTGTATTTTAATGGTTCAGGCAAAGTCCAGTGAAGCGGTCAGAATGAACTGTAAGGCGATTTGAAGATGGGGGAGAGCGGGAAGTAAATAGTAGGAGGTGGAGGTGAAGGCTAAGGTTAAAAAGTTGAAAAGAATAGAAAATATTACAAAAGGTGAAAAAGAATCCAAGTGACCTCTCTCTCTCTCTCTCTCTTTTCTCATCCTCATCTATTCTCAAGGTAGAGGTCACGCGGTCGTCATCATTGGTAAAAAGTAACCACCAGGATGGACGGAGGATGAAGATGAAGATGAAGATGAAGAGGAGGAGGAGGAGGAGGGTAAAGGTAAAGACTTAAAGTAAAAGGTCAATTGGATCACCATGAAGGTGATATTCAAGTGAGGGCGGACAAGGTGATGAAGGAGGAGGAAGGAGGAGGAAGGCGTCCCCGCTAATGTGACTTGAAAAGTTGTTTTTGTTATCATCATCATCATTGTCCAGTTCCTTTGACCATAAGAAAAAAAAATATATCACTGACCATTGGAAAGAATGAGAAAAAAATAATAACTAATATTAACAATGGTAATCATCATAATCATAATAATCATCATCATAATAGTAATGATTAATAATGAATAGTTGCAAAGAGAGCAATTTTTTTCTTCATCATCTTTGATTACCTTTGACCTCTGGTCAATCATCTTATTTGGTCATTTTCCTTAATTTTTTTTCCTTTCTTTTTTTCTTTCAAAATGTAAACTTTAATTTATTTACCTTTGGTCATTTTTTTTTCCTCGCTTGTTGTTGTTTCGTTTGACCATTGTGTTGGTGTTGCCCTTTTGTTATCAGGTCATTTTGTTGCTGATCCTTGACCATTGGTACCGCCAACAACAACAACAACAAATAACAACAATTACTGACCTCGACCTTGATTGTTTGAGTAAGTTTTTTTTCACCTTAATAGTAAAAGGAAAAAAAAAATGAATTATTACTTTGATAAAAATCAATTGTTAATCAACCATAATCATAATCAGTTAAATGGTCAAGGGAAAAGTTAATCATGTCCAGTGAATGAAGATAAATTAAAAAGTTTCAACTCTATTCAATTTGTTTGATGAAAGTTTCAGTTAACTAAAACTTGACATGTAACAATAATTGTCCACAGGTAAAATCTTGAAATCAGCTGAAAGTTAAAGCTGCTTGATGATAATGATGATGATGTAAAAAAAAGGTCACAGACTCCTCCTAAAATTACATAGACCCTGTATAATATTATACAGATTTTTTTTTTCACATAGATGTTGGTATTAGGTCATGAAGAGGGAAAAGTTGAGTTGCCAATTTAATTTAGGCCAATTTGATTACTAAGATACCTGCGGTCAGAATTGAGGCCAACAGATACATAACGGAGATGAGAGAGAGAGAGAGAGAGAAATAAGGCCTCACTGATGATAAATGAAGAGAGGAAGATAATATTCATTTCGCTCTCTCATTTTCATCTTCAGCTTTTATCTTACCTTTGAAACGTCATTGAATAACTGGGCTCGAGTTGTACCTTAGGTGTGTCATGGTCATCATCTTCATCCTCTTTTAGACCATCATCCTCATCATCCTCATCTCTCTCTCTCTCTCGAAATAGCATCATCTTCATCCTAATTTTAGGGACACCCAGCGTCATAACCAGAGCCAGTTTTTGGCCTGAAAATGTGATCTAAACTTGGCCTTAACTGTGAAAGTTAAGGCGTGTTACCTGTTAACCGATATTTGAATAAGAAAAATTTTCCGATTCTTATTTCAATCTAATTATATTTTCTCAATTTAAATTATTAACACAATTGAAAAATTTATCAATCAATTTAATCAAAAGTTTCAATTTATTTTTATTGTTTTCTCATTTATTTGGGTTGATGTTATACTTTTTGCTTGACAATCAATTCATTTGATTATAATCATTAAATTAATTGTACACTGGTTAATATTTGATTGTTATAACTGTTTAATTGTTTATCATTAATTTTCCGTCCTTCATTTTCATTTTAAATTAACTTCTTGATTGGTGATGATACTAATTTATTATTCAATCGTTTCATTTTACTTTTCATCATCTAATTGATATTTTTAAATCTGCTAGTTAATCACGATTGTTGTTGTTAATAATTAAGCAACAATTTATATTGTATCCGGTGATTAAGATGACCCTAACTATTTATTTATATTAGTTTATATTTGTTAATTACATTTCATCATCATCAGCATCTTTTAAATTGTTGTTAGGTCAAGGACGATGTTTAAAATACAATTAACTCTCAATTATTAAATCAACAACAACAACAATCAATACCAAAGTAAATTAATTGTAACTTTTGATTAATAATTTACCAAAAAAAAATCACCATTGAAATGATTAACTGTTGCTAGAAATGAAAAACACAATTAAACAACAATCAACCTTCAGGGCATTAGAAAGTGTTGCTATTAAATTGTAATTTAATTGTAACGATTAACTTTGATTGACCTAATTGTTGATTGTCTTTAAATATTTTTACATATCATCAAAATTGTTTCAATATTTAAACTTCACAGATCAATTGATAATTAAATCAAATTCAAACTTAATCACCAAAAAAAACACAACTCAACATTAATTAAGAATTAAAATTTAAATTATAATCTAAATTAAAAGTGAAAATAATAGCAATTCATAAATTGTGGTCAACTCTCACTAATCACATTGTTAAATGATAATAATGATAAAAGTTAACGTGAACAATTAGTTAGCAATTAAAACGTTTTCATTGAAAACAAAAATAACGGTAAATGTTCAGGTCATTGACCTGAACTCATGAATGAATCAGAATCATCATGTTGGTGTTGGGTGGGAAGAAGGAGGAAGAAGCATTGAAAAAAAAGAATATAAACTTTTTCTTCATCATCCTTATCATCCTAATCATCATCATCCTCATCAATAGACGTAACATTCACGTTACTACGAATGGAATTGAATGGAAGGCGAAAAAAAAAAGAATCGAAATTAGTTCGACCTCATCATCCCTTTAGCTCTTTCTTTTCCCTTTCAAATTTAGAATTAAAATTAACCACATCATCATCATCATCATCATCATCTTCATCCTCATCTTCATCTTCATTTTAATCATAATCAACAACAACAGTTATAAGTCAATGAACTCTCACTGAAAAAAAGTTTTCGGTATATTAATAAACAAACAACAATCAAAAATGGGCTAAAGTAGTTTAACAATTTAAACCTGTAATTCATAATCATGATAATAATAACCCCCTTTTTTTACAACAGTTAACTAATTGTTAATCATACAAATGATTTTAAATCAACTCCTTTGATTACAATTTAAATCATTGACTTTGTATTAATATTTTTTTTTTCATTTCCACTCCCTCTCATTATTATTGCCCATTGGGTTACTAAGGTAAACAAATTGTTGATTGTGTGATGATTATAATCACGATTGTTAATCATTATTACAAATAATAGATTTAATTGTTGTCTACTAATCAACTAATTGTCTAACTAACTAACTAACTAACTACCTTTCCCATTGGGGTGGGTGGTTGACCCCGTTGATTGTTGTAGTTATTTTCATTAATCAACCTAATATCAATATTAGATGTTGGTTGATTGTTGATGGAAGAGAAAAAAAAATTTACTAATTGTTACAATATTTTATATTAATATTTCTGTTGTTAATATAAAGATTTATTTATAGATATGATGATTATTATTATTACAATTAAGAGTAGGTCGATGATGACAGTTGGATTAATTGACAATTGAACTTTTTGATTGCTGATTTATTTAATTGGCCTTTATCATTATTATTATTTTCATCAATTTTGTTACTCGTTTGATTGACCAGCGCAACAATTAAGGGTTAATTGTGATCAGAAACAAATTTCCAATACGGGCAAACCTTAATTTCAATTATCAATTGTTAATTAAATGATGTATGACCTTTTTAATCAAAAATAATATCAAGATGATTTGAGTTAATTGTTGAAAATTAAAATGTTTCCAAAGGCTTATCATTGATTGTTTTTCTTGATTAAGCTTTAAATTAGTGATGATTATTATTCATATACGAAAATTTGATTAATTGAGTTAATCAAATGATCATGATAACAATTGAAATTGACGGTTAATTGTTGATCATCAGAATGAGTTGATTAAAATTATCCAACTAGTCATATAAAAATAATCTAATTAAATGATGTTTGTTAAAATTTAATTTTTCCCAATTTAATGATGAACTATTTTTGGGTTACAATTTAGTTAATTTAGTTTG